AGAGATTATGTCCACAAATATGTTTATTTCCTCTGTAAAAGTGTGTGAAACAAACGAAAGTGCTTTTGAAGGACATGAGGCACAGAAAACTCAGAAACTTGTCCGCTCATAGAAGTCTGGGAGGTTATGTTGCCGGTGCCAGTTCCGGCTTTGTTCTTCTTCTCGTTCTTCCATCGGCGACGACTAGAATTCTCTGTCAGTGCGCAAGCCACCTCTCCGATGATCTGCGTTACCCTTTCAGACGTGGGCCTCGTGTTTTCCTGGAACGCAACGGCGACCCACGCCCTCCTCGGCTTTCCTCTGCTGGTGTGAGTGCTGCTATGGGGCTGCGTACTGCTGCAGAGGGTGCGTTCGCAGTCCCGTCGAAGGTCTGCAGCCAGTTCGCTGATGACGGCCACTGGGGCCAGCACGACGACGGCTGAGACGCAGTGGCGAATACTGCTGTACAATTGCATTCCGTCTGTCGTCCACTTCCAATCGGGATACCAGTACATTGCTTCCCTGTAGACGAGGCAAGCGACGGCCAAAAGCGTCGGCGTCGTTCCCAGGAACACGTTCCTGCAGCCGCGCAGCGACAGGGAATGCCGTTCGCAATAGATGCACATGGACCGGGCAAGCTGGGACACCGCCTGCACTCGGAGCAGGAGGAAGGCCAGGGAGAAAGCGACGTGCCGTAGCTCGAGGCTTGCAGTGAGGATTAGGGGAATTTCGTCATCTGGGCCTCCGTCGAAGGAATCGTCCCAAAATGACTTCAGTCGAACGAACATCCACATGAGCGCCAGTCCGCACCGCAGCCAAGGCGGCCACGGCCGAGGCGGCCATCCCCACAGTGGAAGCAATCCCAAGGCAGACGCAAGTAGGCTAGGGTGGTCCAAAAAAAAATGAAGTTGCTCGGATCGTCCAACGCCGCTCGGATTTGGATTCTACATCGAAAAATATGAAATACGTGTTTTTTCCTTTTTCGAAAAAATGATTTTTAGGACCTCCGCAGAGCCCCCAAAGTTTTTAACAGTGCTATTAATAGGAAAAAAATCGTAACTTGGTCATTTTTTGACCGATTTTCAAAAACAAAACGGGAATTTGTTCGTTTTTTAATGCTTATTACGGAAAAAAATATGCCCAACCCTCTTTTTGGTTTGCCTAACTTTCAGGGGCAAAAAATGACTAAATTTCGGCCCAAATTGGCAAGAGTTTCAGTTTGCAGGCCGCTACAGCCTCTCCAAGTCCACCCTGTCAGCATGGTGGGGTGCCCCCACCACAAGGCAAGCCCCATGAACAGAATAAGGATGCCGAGTGCAATTTGCCTACCTCCCAGGGGCATCAAATATTGGATTTTTTCGAAAATCTATCAATAGTGATGTCTCTTGGGGCATCTGGGCACTCAGATGGGCACCCTTTCACACGGTTTGGTACCCACACTACGTGATATGAACGTTATGGACGTTGCTGACGCGAGGGACCGCAAACCACGCAAGGCCACAAGAAAAGCCATCAAAATGAAGGAATTTTCTAAATTTTCACGTTTTTCTGGTCCTGAGAGGTAGGCATGAGGTGCTCAACAGTCCATTCCTATTGTTTGTTCTTATCACGTAGTGCGGGTACCGAACCGTGTGAAAGGGTGCCCATCTGAGTGTCCAGAAGCCCCAAGAGACATCACTATTGATACATTTTCGAAAAAATCCAATATTTGATGCCCCTGGGAGATAGGCAAATTGCACCCGGCATCCCAATTCTGTTCATGGGGCTTGCCTAGTGGTGGGGGCACCCCACCATGCTGACAGGGTGGACTTGGAGTGGCTGTAGCGGCCTACAAACTGAAACTCTTGCCAATTTGGGCCGAAATTTAGTCATTTTTTGCCCCTGAAAGTTAGGCAAACCAAAAAGAGGGTTGGGCATATTTTTTTCCGTAATAAACATTAAAAAACGAACAAATCCCCGTTTCGTTTTTGAAAATCGGTCAACAAATGACCAAGTTACGATTTTTTCCTATTAATAGCACTGTTAAAAACTTTGGGGGCTCTGCGGAGGTCCTAAAAATCATTTTTTCGAAAAAGGAAAAAACACGTATTTCATTTTTTTCGATGTAGAATCCAAATCCGGGCGGCGTTGGACGATCCGAGCAACTTCATTTTTTTTTGGACCACCCTAAAGTAGGCCCAGAGTGCAGCCAAACGTGGACAGAACCCTCTGGGAACCCACTGAAAAGAACAAAGCTGTGTTAAATGACACACATGTTCTCTCTTATTCTTCCATGCACATTCACGTGTGTGCGCTTAAATAGAAGTTTCTATAACAATTACAACTGTTACACTGGTAAAACTAAAGCGTAACTCTATGCTTGAGTCAAGCATAAAGTTACGCTTGAAGACATTACGCTTGAAATGAAGCATACTCTGGAAATTCCCCCATGCATTTAGACAGAGGAATCTTGGTGGATGAGCCTGTTACGCTTCATTTCAACCGTAACCTAATTACGCTTGAAAACAGAGGGTAATACTACGCTTTAGTTTTACCAGTGTAACATGGCCATTAATGTTCACGAGACGCCTGTACGCACTGTGAACCGCCTTTCCCTTTCGAAGGCAGGTCGGCCGTCTGCTCGTGCTGCGTCCGAGTTGGTCGAACAGCGCGCGCGCGACAGGGAAACCAGTGCGCGTCACAACACTCTCTTTAATGAATGAATGAGAATAGATCGGCGTGGTGACGTCAAATATGATCAGCTAAGTGAAATGTGTGGTTAGCACGTGCGCGCCCGCACACTAACACACACTTGACCACTGGAAATCGCTTGGTGTGCACCGAGCCCGGTCCCACGGCGAGAAGGGTGCCGGATCGCGACCCGGGCCCAACTTAGTGGAATGGGTACTGGGTACTCGGATTCAGTCGTCTTGTGACGCGCGCGCCTTTCGCGGACGGCTGCCGGACACCGCACCCTCAAAACCTTGCGAACCGATCTGTTGGCAGGGTTGTGAACGTTACTTTCAAATGTAACGCGTTACCGTTACTGCGTTAGTAGGGGTATGCATTTGCTAACGTGAACCCTCTTGGTCACTGCCACACTGTCACTGCCCTGTATCTCAATGCATCATCCCGATTTCCTTGCACCTTCGTAGTAATACAGTCAACAGTCTCATAGAGGGGCATGTCTGGATCAGTGGCTTAAGTTATAAACCAAGCATGAGTAGAGCGTCAATAACACAAATCACCAGAAGGGGTAGGTAAACAAAACTCAACAATTTCAGAACATGGTTAAGACTCTCTACTCTGTTGGTGCTATGCTCTCTCAGAGTCATCACCAGAGCTCTGTCTTTCAAAGACCATACCTCCTTGCAAGTCAACCAGTTGCCTCTCCGGTAAGTCTTTGGAGTGGGCTCAGCAACAGAATTAAACTTCACTAATCCTTCCTGGAAAAATCTGCATTTGTTTCCGCATGAAGCATCTCTCTGAACAATTTCACAGCCTCGTTCTTGTTGGGGTCCCCCTTTGCAGCTCTCTTGATGACTGCCCTTTCAGAATGGACACAACAGATATGGACCTTTGCGTTTGGCATCACTTCTCGAAGAGCACCATTTCCCGCGAAGGACTTGTGGACAACAACACATTTAGTATGAACAAAACGGGCCTCTCCGCTGACTTCCACAAAGCTAGGAAGCATAGATGTGAGATGCTTCTTTGACTCGCTCGCCAAAAAGGCATAGCCAACTGGTTGTCCAACACCATCTCCGCCAACCACCTCAAGCACAGTGTGGCATCTGGTTCTTGTTTACCTTTTCAGTACAGTCCATCAGCATGACCTCTGGAAACATTTGAAAATACTCGACGCATGTTGGACGTCTGTATGAGGATGAACTCCTTCTCTTTTGTTCCAGCGTTAAACACTAATTCAGCAAGGTCCTCATTATCAATAGCTTTCAGTTCGTCCAATTTCTGCTGAAGCATTTTTTCCTCAGACCTCCCTTGTGACCTCACGCTTACGGTTTAGCCCTTCAAAAAAAAGTTTAATTACACGCTGTACATACATACGGAGCAAAGTAACAAACGTAGCACTACTCACTGAGCATTGTGAATGTCACGGTTGAGAATTATTTTTGATGGACCTTCGGGGGCCTTGATCAAAAGTTGCATTAAAATGGGCTTGGCCTTCCCAGCACGATATTCTGCCATTTTATCCACCGTTTCTTTGAATAATCTGCGGTTTTCTGAGTAGAAAAAGTCATCTTCTGACTCCGATGACATCACCTCTCAATTAATGGATCAAATAGAGGTGATAAGGTGAGGTGTTTAACAAATGTAAAAATTTCACCAAAAACCTCCCCATCTCTGCAGAGATATTTGTCAACACTAGAGTCGTTGACAGACGAACGAGCATAACTTGAAGACACATACAAAATTTTGCCCTTACTTCGTTTGTCAAAAGTTTTGCACTCATACATATCAATAACAAATAAATAAGCTAAAGAGAAAATTACTGAGACTGGTTGAGGGGTTTCGTAATAACCACCCGCAAATAAATCAGGAGCAATAACGTCTGCAATATCCTTAAGCGTTTTCACAGAATTCTTTTGCAATACCCGGTTGCATATCCTCAATAATTTTGGGCAAACCAGTGAAAAACCTCAATCGTTTACCAATTTGCAAACAAGCATCAAGCATCCTTAGTGCCATGGGCTAAATTGCCTATTTTACCATTTAGGCCTTGTGAATCATAGCAGGCTGTAACAAATAGTTGTCTTACTGGTTGTCTTACAGAATGGGACAGGTGCATGAGTAAGTGTACCAATTTCAAAGAGAATACTGGTAGAAAGAACACTTTTTGGGCCAAAAAATTACTATGGTCATGGTGCCCCACGGGGTGGTCATGGTACCCCATAGGTGGGGCGCCATGACCACTTTGCGTTTTATTTTCCGAAGTGTTCTGTGAGCCTGCCGTGCGTTGCAGACAAGTTCCAATGGGTGGAGGAGGTCCTTGGAGGTCCAATGAATCCCCTCATGTTGGAAACTTAACTTTTCGAACCACACGGTGGAGTAGAGGGAGGCCCAAAAAAATGTGGTCATGGTTCCCCACCCTCCCTTACACTTCAAAAACAGGAAGCATAATGTAGAGATCAAAAATATATAAGACGTGACAGGGTTGGATTTCACCTCTCCGACTTGGCTCATTTTTGGTGGATATTTTAGTACCCTAGAGAGATGTTAAAAGCTGGAGTAGCAGGTCCTGCAAAAATTTATTGACCAATCTGCAGACGTTTTTCAATATTTTTGAGTTTGTTACCTTAAATTTGGGTATTTTCTACTTTTTCTACAGTTTAAGCACTAGGAAGCTGAAATAAGGTTCTCCTCAGGTAACATGAGCCAAGAAATCAGAATCTAGGTCTGGACTTGAGCTACGACTCATACTTCAGGAGACATTGGCAAAAATTGCGAAAAGTTATCGAAAAAGTCCCAAATTTTGGGGAAGGGGTCAAAAATTCCTGTGAGAGGCTTCCCCAGCGTTCTAAACTTTAGAGAACGCGTAAGGCGTTGAGTAACTAAACGCCTTAGGCGTGTCTATGCACTAATTGACTCACCGCTCAAAACCTGAGTCGTCTCTTTGAACCCAATATCAATTCAAACTCTGTAAGGATTAAACATACACAACCATACATTGATTCTATTAATAAACACATGTTAGTGCTTTTGCACTCTTGTCAGCTTGCAGCATTGCAAAAGAATGCATTTCTCGAGTCCAAACTAAGTATGCCTGCCAATTTCAATCCAAGTTATTTATGCATTTCCCTGATTTCCTCTAGTTTGAAAATTTTAAAATGAGGATGACACTAAAATGAATTAAGAAGATGCACACAATACAAAAGGTCAAAATAAAAACATTCTATTTACAATGCTTTGTCAAAGTGCACTGACCTGAGGATTATTCCCCTCTGACAGTGGAGGGGGGGGAGAGGGGAACGAAACACGTAAATCATTCTCAAATCCATTCTCCATATTTCGCTGTGTTGGTGTTCCAAAAGGGTTTTAAACATTCTAGAATGTTGAAAAACGGCTGATCTCATTTCCAAACCCTTCTGCTCTTTATTTCGTCTCATTTGCTTATTTGCTTAAGTCCGGTATTTGAGAGCCGCGGACCCGCAGGTATGAGAAATTGGTAAGCGGTGCCGCGCTGCCAACCTAACCACGCTAATGACCTGATTCAAAAATATGTTTTGAATATTTCAAACGATACTAAACAACGATTTGAAACAAACTCGTGTTGGGGGGTGCTAAGGCGACGTTAAATACGAAATCTTGAAACTATAGCCACTGTAGTTGCTGAGAATCGTTGGTGAGTACAGACAGACAGACAGACGCACGACCAGTCACTTTTCAGCGCGCCCAAACACGGCAAGGGCTTCGCTATCGCTCAGCCAATTAGGCCTGTATAGTACCAACATTTTCAACCCGTCGCTGCCCCTGGATGGTAGGCAAATCCAGGCCCCTTGGGTGTGTTTCCCACCTTAATCTTTACACCCCAGTCCGTCCCTGTTAGGCGTTGAGTAACAAACTGCCCTAAGGCGTCTAGGTTTTAGAGGCAAGCGCCTGAAGGCGCTTAAAGAACACCCAGGAATGACATTGTAGACAGGCGCGTCGCACGGGGTTGCCTGCAGTCTTCTCCCGGACGGTCTGGGGCGGCAAGCCTGGCGAACCCCCTGGCTGTCTCTAGCGCACTCCTGCAGTGTGATTCCGCGCACTGCAGGGGGGCCTGCTGCTCCCCGCACGCGGCGAGAGGAGGGGCTGAGAAGGGCCTAACTACGGTGCTGGGTTGGTCGGGCCGGCTGATGGTCGGGCTTTTGCGGCACGCTTCGGCAACTGGGTTCGGGACGGCTTCGGGCAAACTTCGGGTGGGTTCGGGGCAGAGTGTTTTGCCAACACAAACATTAATGAACGCGCCGTACTAGGTTCAACCACTGTCATCTTTTACATTGATGCAAATCGAATTTACTGCACATTTTCAAACAAATGGTATGCTACGATAATTTTGTGCGACGCGTGTTGGTTTGACCGCGTGACACTGCCGAAGGGTCGCAATTTTAGGTTGGCAAGGGAGGGAATGCCGTTTTACTTTTCCACTTTTGTTTCGACTGAACGACACATTGCTGTACAGCATCTTCGCTCCATTTCGCCTTGGGACGAGAACGAGACGAAACATGCACGGATTCTGCTCCGTGAAACAGATTCTGTATTTCGACATTGATACAATTAATTACTCTTGTTCCTCTCTCTCTCTACCACCGAAATGGGTAAGGAGAAGCTCCAGACAAAAAAAACCACTTGGTCGGCGACATCCTAGGAGCGGGCGCTTGTGGTGTTTTATCGGTTCCTTGTATGTATACGAACTGCCGAAAAGACACTTGGACGAAATCCGACACCCCCTGTGGCTTTGGTACGGGTCTAAACACCCCAAAAACAGCTGTTTTCGAGGGTTTGGGACTAGATGGGTTCTTGCAAACCGAGATCCAAAAAAGTACCCAAATGGGTCTCAGATACTCAAAAAAATGCGCTCTTTCGAATGCCGTGTCGAACGAGGTTCTACGACGTCGGGTTTGGATGCTACGGGCTCTCAAAGTTGCTCAATTTCACTATTTTTACTGAAGATTTGAGCATATCAGGGCCGTTTGAAGTAGACCATCGGCGATTTCGCTCCTCTTTGTCTTAAATGGTGCCTACCCATAGGTAAACACCCCCACAAAATTTCAGCCATGTCAGGCAATTATTAGAGGAACTGTGAACAATTTAAGTTTTGGGTCATTTTACCACTGGGCTTAGGTGTTTTTGGGTCCAGAAAAAATAATTTTTTTAGCTATCTACTTTTGATCAGCACCTCTTGAAACGCCTTTTTAACATGGAGCCTCAAAACTTTTTTCGAGGACAAACTTGCCTTATTCTCCAAGTTATGTTCTAATTACAGCTAGAAAAAGACAAGTTTGTCCTCGAAAAAAGTTTTGAGGCTCCATGTTAAAAAGGCGTTTTAAGAGGTGCTGATCAAAAGTAGATAGCTAAAAAAATTATTTTTTCTGGGCCCAAAAACACCTAAGCCCAGTGGTAAAATGACCCAAAACTTAAATTGTTCACAGTTCCTCTAATAATTGCCTGACATGGCTGAAATTTTGTGGGGGTGTTGACCTATGGGTAGGCACCATTTAAGACAAAGAGGAGCGAAATCGCCGATGGTCTACTTCAAACGGCCCTGATATGCTCAAATCTTCAGTAAAAATAGTGAAATTGAGCAACTTTGAGAGCCCGCAGCATCCAAACCCGACGTCGTAGAGCCTCGTTCGACACGGCATTCGAAAGAGCGCATTTTTTTGAGTATCTGAGACCCATTTGGGTACTTTTTGGATCTCGGTTTGCGAGAACCCATCTAGTCCCAAACCCTCGAAAACAGCTGTTTTTGGGGTGTTTAGACCCGTACCAAAGCCACAGGGGGTGTCGGATTTCGTCCAAGTGTCTTTTCGGCAGTTCGTATACATAGAAGGAACCGATAAAACACCACAAGCGCCCGCTCCTAGGATGTCGCCGACCAAGTGTTTTTTTTTGTCTGGAGCTTCTCAAGCTCACCGTTCGGGTGCTTCACGTAATGCTTGAAAGATGCCTCGCGGCGTTTGACTGATACTGTATAGTTTAACCGTTCCAATCCTAACTTCTTTTTCAACGTTCATCATTGTGATGCATTCCGTCTCTTTATCCATTACCACTTATACGCGTACTCCCATTAAATCGTTTCCAATCCTCACTTCCGAAGCTTGAAATCGCTGATGTGTTTGGTACGATTTGATGCACGACAGCTCTCGCACTTAACCTACAAAATGTTCCACCCACTTCTATCGCTTCTTACGTTTTCTATGTCGTGTTTAACCTCCGTTGCCTGATCCATTATAGATACAGCGGAGTGGAGCGCATTCCTGAACCTCTACGCCGCTGACACAGAGTTAATGATTGGCGTTACTAGCGGCTCGCCGCTCGTTTCTAAAGCTGTGGCGAAGCAGGCCCTTGCGACTAAGTGGGACGAGGTGGCCGCCATCTTGAACGAGGTTAAACCTGATGCCCAACGGTTAGGGCCCGAATGGACAATAGTGAGTTTTGTATTAAATCTCTGGTGTTGCAATTTTTTGCCGACTCTAAATCTCTAAAATTTTGTGTTTTTGAACACTAACACTCCATTTTTTGTGTGAACCAAGCAATATTTTAAGAAACAAGTCTGCCTTCCTTCTCAAATACTGATATTTTTCTTCTTGATGTTTAAGGGGGCAATACACTGAAAATGGCCAAAAACTGACTTGTGCGATTGCTTCCATACGCGTTGTTGAGCGTTGTTCAAACTTTTCATGTGTCAAGACCTTACAAAAAGAAGCATTTTTAGCCCAGAATGGCATCGATCGGACGTCAGGGAGCGGAGCAGCGCCCAATCAAATTTTCGTCAAAAGTCGAACTGGCGGGCGTCCCTCAGTCCGCAAAAATGAAGATATCTCGAACCCGTTTGCGCCAAAATGTAGGTAATTAAAGCGGCTATAGCGCAAACTAGGATTATGAACATCGAGCAACCGAAAGTACAAAATTTCATCCAAAAACACTTTATGAGGATTTTGCAAAAATGATCAAAACAGGTTTTTTTCGTAAAATTTAGTACTTTTGATTGTTCGATATTCATAATCCTAGTTTGCGCTATAGCCGCTTTAATTACCTACATTTTGGCGCAAACGGGGTCGAGATATCTTCATTTTTGCGGACTGAGGGACGCCCGCCAGTTCGACTTTTGACGAAAATTTGATTGGGCGCTGCTCCGCTCCCTGACGTCCGATCGACGCCATTCTGGGCTTAAAATGCTTCATTCTTTAAGGTCTTGACACATGAAAAGATTGAACAACGCTCAACAACGCGTATGGAAGCAATCGCACAAGTCAGTTTTTGGCCATTTTCAGTGTATTGCCCCCTTAATGCTCGCTCCTCCTTTCACCAGGCGTGGACAGGCTTAAAGGCGAAGTCTCGAGAGCAGTACAGACAAAAAGCTCGGCCATACATTGAGAGGACTGGAGTGTTGCGAAACGTGATGAATTGGCCATGAATATTACCTATGCCAAAGTAATGAATGTCTTAGGAGTTAAGGGGAGGTTCTGGTGAAAATGCTATTTTCTCCTAAATAGGTCCCACTGTGAAAATTAGTTAAAAATTTGATGTCTTACCAAGTAATTAATAAAAATTTTCACTGGGAACTCACATTTTGTGCCCTGAACCCAGTCGAAGAGTCTTTTTGAGCCTATTTTGGGTGTAACTTTAAAAATCTTCTTGCGCATACTATTTTGTCGTAAAAGGTTGGCCTTGACATTTTTCACTTCTTCGATTCATTTTTAAAAAATGTCGGCATGCACAACTCAAACTGTAAATAACATTTTCATTCGCAAGCTTTCTAACCAAGTATTTCACTATAATTGATCAAAAATGTACAAACCCGCGAAAAAATGATCATATATGGTCCATATATGATGAGTCATATATGGATCATATATGGATCATATTAATTGGGCATATATGTTTCATATATGTCGCATATATGAAACATATTAAAATCATATATGACACATATATGACCAATTAATGTGAATCATATAAGTTTTCATATTTAGTTCATATATGTTATGTTACATATATGAGCCATATATGATGAAATTATCATAAATCAATACAAAATTGAAAATTTGATACTAAATTAAGGGTGTGAATGGTTCAAGATCAAATACTTATGCATTTTACAACAAAAGTACAGAAAGAATGGCCGAAAAAAAATGTCACGGAGTAGGATTTGAACCAGCAATCTTTGATTCCATAGGCGGTTGCTTTACTTACTACGCTACGACGCTTCCTGGCAGGACCAGGGCTCTGTGAAGGAGACCTTCTAGAGCTGGTCGATATCATATATGACACATATATGACTCATATATGGAGTATATATGGAGGGACTTAGAAAATAAATGATGTGGACGGCCGCGAACCTAGACATTGTCATATATGGTACATATATGGTACATATATGACCAGACCATGTTCATATACGATGATGAAATCCTCATATATGTATCTAGGAACACCATATATGCAGTGGCACTGGTCATATATGGTACATATATGGTACATATATGACAAGAACATTTTCATATATGATGATGAAATCCTCATATATGTGTCTGGGGACTTCATATATGAAGCTGAACCGGTCATATATGGGCCATATATGTGACAATATTGCCATATATGACCGTAAAAAAGGCATATATGTGCCGAGAAATATCATATATGTAACATATATGTCACATATATGGACCAAATTTTTGCATATATGATATCTAAATACATATATGATACATATATGGAGGATGGCCTTCCATATATGGCGTGCGTCTCGTCATATATGAATCATATACACTCATATATGTACCATATATGAACCATATATACTCATATATGTACCATATATGAAGCATATATGATCCTTTTCCCACGGGAAAAATTGACAAATTTTAGGGACTTTTCAGCTTAAAAAGCTTACAGTTAATAATATAATGGGAATTTTGAGCTATGCATGCCGGAATTTTTTGAAAATGAATCGAAGAAGTGAAAAATGTCAAGGTCAACCTTTTACGACAAAATAGTATGCGCAAGGAGATTTTTTAAGATAGAGCCAAAATAGGCTCAAAAAGACTCTTCGGCTGGGTTCAGAGCCTGGCATGTGCCTTCAAAAGTCAAATTTTAGTCTCCTAAAAGAAAGATTTTATATTCCGAACAAATTGTGACAGTGGAATCCATTTGGAAAATAGCAAGATTTTCACCAGAACCTCCCCTTAATTCAGCCATAACGCCAGCCTTGACATCGTTGTTAGAACAAAGCCAGGCAAGCACGTCAGCTCTAGTAAGTATTTTTTGTAACCTCCTTGTCTTTTTGAATTATCAGTTACTGAATTGTTCTTTTCTTTTTTATTTCTTTTAGCCTCCTATGCAAGTGCCCGCTCCCCAGCGTGTCACCAACTTTACAATGGGGGTAAGTAAAGTAAGTCCTTCAAAAGTTTTGCCGAACTTCTAAAAATTTATGCTGTGTTGTTTTCACTTTTCTCTTCCTCTGTTTAGCCCTCCACATCTCAACATAATGTACATGAATTGATGCCACTAGTGAAGAATAGGAAATGGTGTTTGTAAATGTAGCTAAGTGCCCGCTCCCCAGCGTGTCACCAACTTTACAATGGGGGTAAGTAAAGTAAGTCCTTCAAAAGTTTTGCCGAACTTCTAAAAATTTATGCTGTGTTGTTTTCACTTTTCTCTTCCTCTGTTTAGCCCTCCACATCTCAACATAATGTACATGAATTGATGCCACTAGTGAAGAATAGGAAATGGTGTTTGTAAATGTAGCTAAGTCCTAGCGTAATTGTACATTAGCCCTGAGGGAGTAAACAAGGTAGGATTACGCCAGACCGCGTCTTGTCGTAACAGGCTTCGCGATGTCTCGCTGCCTGTTCCTACAATCCGCGCCTGGCGTACCTACCTTGGCCTGCGGCGCTAGCCTGCCTTCGGCAGGCAATGGCTTGTCTGTCGTCGGTTACTTCTAACTTGTTTCTTTCTGGGGGGCTGGACCCCCCTTCATTCTAGATAGACTTGCTTCATCTTCAAATAACACGATCTTGACCCTTGGAACTTTTTCCGCCCCCCAGGCCCCCCTTTTTTTTAGACACAAGAGATCTGCCTACGGAAAACTCGATTTTTCGCCGTTTTTTATGTGTTTTTTGGCTATAAAAACTGAACCAGTTGAGCTAGGATGGTGAAATTTCGCGTGTGCCGAGCCAAGGTCATACCCAAAAAGTGTGCGAAATCTCACCGAGATCGGCCGAGCCGTTCAGGAGGAGTAGTGCGGACACGCACGCACGCACGCACACACGCAGACAGGAAAAACTTTTCAACCCCACCTGAGTAACGGGCTTCGCTATCGCTCAGCCAATGAAACTAATGGTGTCTATTTTTCAATAATTTCTATATTTCAGTTAGTGGGAAATTCTGGTGGTGATGCAGTGGATGCAGTAGTAGAGCCTGTTATACAGTAAACCTTGATGATGAGCAACATGTAGAGGTAGTGGTGAAACAAGAGGACTCACTGCTTGGAAGGATCAAACTTGAGCAGAATTCACCGCCAGTAAACCTCGGTGAGAAGCCACAAGCAGAATCTGATGAAGAATTAGAGGTTTTATATCTTAAGGTAGTCTTCAGTTTAATATTTGTGACTCAATTGTAAGTTTATAAACTGGCAGTTTGTCATTTTAAATATTTCTGTTTCAGGTGGACACAGATGTCAAAAATACTGGCAGTGATGGGGCTTCCGTCCAACGACAGATAAAACAGGAGACTGAAACAGGCTTCCTCTCCGAAGTAAGCAGTAGTCTATGCTGTGTATTTTTAGTTTGTTGTTTTAACTGTGAAATTGAGTAGATTTCTGACTATGAGAAAGTAGGCGCTTTATTTCCTTTGCCGAATCTTATTTTTTAAATCATTGCAAACATGTTTGTGTGCACTGAGAAAACCTTACAAACTATTTTGGGCCTTACAAAGAAAACTAGTTTGTATAACAAAGTATTTTGAGCATACGTAAGCTGACAAAGAAAATACTTTGTAATTTACGAACTATTTCTTCGTATAACAAAGTATTTTAGTTTGTTATACGTATGCTCAAAATACTTCGTAAGGTTTTAAGAGTGTGTCGAATACTGCTTTGGCATACACACATGCTTTTCTATGAGTTTCTGTGTCAGCAAGTAGAACCAGAGCATGACTTTGGAAAAATTTATTTTTTCGTTCAAAGTGTAAACATAATAGGGACACGCTGGTTTGTTTTAGCCATAGCTATACCAAAGCTAACTTTTCCCTTGTTTTTCCCTTGTCTTTCCCCTGCAGTCCGTTTTACATCTCAACCAGTTTCAATTCATCCAATCGAGTTTATAAGAACCGGAAATAGATGTAACGAGGCAACACAGACCTCAGGGGCACAAAAATAACAAAATTTGTCAAAATAGGAATAATTTTCCAATGACATTTATGAAAAGAAAAACCTTTGAGGCCAAAAAAGTCGAATGGCCGACCTCGCTACACCGTTAAAAATCCACTGTAATATTACAACACAATCACCTACAGTAATGCTGTTTAATAACAACAGTATTGTTTTGTGTCTGAACGGGAAACCCATCCAGAAACAGCACTTTCGTTTCATAACAATTTCCTTGTCAAGTAACAACAATGTAACCGCCAAGAAACAGCCTTCTGCAATCTTAAAACAGATATTGTTGTCAGGTTACAAGGGTCTTGTTTAATAACAGCACGATGAAATCAACACAAATGTTGGGAAGACATCGTTGAAGACTCCAAAGAAGTATTGTTTTACTACAATCGAACTGTCAGAAAACAGCACCGAGGGCTACAACATGCTTGTAATAAAACAAGTCGTGCTGCTATCAAACTTAACAGCATAAGTGCTGTTAATTTACAGCACTTTTTTTAACAGTGTACAGCGTTGCGACCATAAAAAAAGTTGTAGGCCTTGTCCTTAGCTTTCAGAATCTATTGCGAAAAGTTGCAGAATCGAAAAAATGTCGGTTTTACAGGCAAAAAAACGGATATAAAATGGCAGATTAAGGTACAACATTTTATCTTTTTCGCGATTTTTAGCTCTACATGCCTAGCTATTACTAGGAAATCATTTCTTTTACTAGATAACATTAAAACATGACCATGTGCCGTGAAAAAAGCTGACAGATTGGAAAATAATTCTATGTCGCATTTTTTTGGCGTTTCGCGCCACTGTGGAGTGATTGTGCGAGTCCTTTCTCAAGGCAATGTTTTGGAGTGGCAGTATGTTCGACCTAAACAACGCAGGCTTGGTGTGTTGTTGGACCACCATTCTTTTCATTGCGACAGCGGCTTCTTAGCGTACTTCACAAAGACCTTCAACGCTCCTAGTGTTTGCTTTGAAGTGGCAAGGATGCTGGATGGCGGCACGGCGAACCCTTGTTGCTTGTCGGGCCCTCCTGCCGGCAGCTCCATGCAGAACGACTGTGCCACTCCGGCCACGCCGCGCACCCAGTCGGACACCGTGCCTGTCGCGGGATCTGCACAATCCCCGAACAGCCGAAATTATGACATGCATTTTGTAGCGCACCATCGTGACGTGACTTGAACTACCAGCTCAGGAGGACAATAGAAAAGGCGGTGTTAATGAAGCATACTCACAGTCGGCTGCCATTGCTTCGATTTTGTCGGATTTGGCACCGCCAGCGACCAGAGCGTTGTTCACTTCTTTGGCGATTGTCGTCTGAATCACACAAATCACGGGTGTGTCAATAGTAGTGTCTTGATGCCTTCGACAGGCACTGAAAAACTCTACCGTACCAATGGCGCCGCATCTGGCAGCTTTGGAGCCGTCGCAGAGTAACCCCACGGAAGGTAGATCGACTGTGGCATCAACAGAACAGTGCACGCGGTAAAGATTGCTTCCGTCTCAAATAGCACACAAATATTGACGTACTAACCTGCTCCGGATTGTGAATGTTGACGTACATCTTGACTCTCTTTCCTGCGTTCAGGTTGCGGATGAAAGTCTGGTAAATTACTGTCTCTGGCTCGGACGCAGCTTTCGGACCAGCATACGTCAGCTCGCATGGGTCACTGCTTGCCCCTTTGTTTGACCTGAAGTCTGCAAAATTTACGGAGTGATGACTAGCGACTGCCTTAGTTTGCGTGCAGGAGCACACTCTAAATGTGTAACGGTAAAAGGCTGCACCACCAAATTATGATGGAGATTGCCTCCATAAATCGACAGAAATTAGAAAGAATATCTTTACACGCTTAAAACCTTCCAAAGTATTTTGGGCCTACATAACACAAACTAATTTACTTTGTTACGCGAAGTACTAGATCGTAAACTACGAAGTATTTTCTTTGTGCATTGTGCCCTGTTTACGTGGCCTGTTCTGTCATTTTCCAACTCACCAGCCCAATGGTAGTCGAAATTACGGTTAAGGTCAACTCCAACGCAGTTCTTTTTGCTAGTTGCTCCGCGATTTTTACGCCACATGCGGTCCTGCATGCAGTAAGAATGTGTATTGTGTCACCGTTGCGGAGAACCACGGCGATACTTCACGACACTCCGGACGTAGGGATCCTTAACTTACCTCATAAGGGCATCATAACGTTATGATAAGAGTTAAAGTTATTACCCTTAACTTCTAACATTTTTTCAAAAGGGTAGGTTATTTTTTTATGTCTCGAATTTGTGTGGATATACTTTTGCTAGTACTTTAATAAATCCGTACCCTTAACTTTTAGCGAACACTGTCTTGTGTTACGTTATGAAAGCAGTGTTAGTTAAATGTTAAGTTAAGTTAAGTTAAGGATCCCTGATTTAGTGTGGAGAAAAGCGCACCTTCGTCCTGGAGTACTCGTAGCCGTCCGGGTTCAGAATGGGCACGACGACCACGTCCAGGCCAGCCCGCAGTGTGGCGTCCTGCACCAGGGCCTCCAGGAAGTACAGCACAGGCGGAAGCGTGATCCACTCGCGGGCGTGCATCAACGCGTCCACCAGCATGATGGGGTTGTTGGCGCCGCCAGACGACACGCGCGCGTAGTAGATCTCTCGGCCCTCCACGGACCGGCCCACGCTGCCCACCGTCACCAGCGTGGGGTAGCGCTCCTTCAGGGCGCGCAGGTACGCCTCAGTCTGCCAGCCAGAGAGTGGACGTTGCTAGCTCGGTAACAAGGCAGGACACACGACCAATCCCAAGGACAGACTTCTAGCTGACATTGACATTAGATACGTAAGCAAGCGTGCAGAGCCGCCTGAAAGAAAGGTGGTAAGTCGCATTTTGCCCAACACCCTTAAAACCTTACGAAGCATTTTGAGCATACATACGTACAAACTAATTTACTTTGTTCTACGAAGAAATAGTTTGTAAATTACGAAGTATTTTCTTTTAAGCCTATGTATGCTTAAAATACTTTGTTCTTACAAAGGCCTGAAATAGATTTTGAGGTTTTCTCAGGGAACGATTCCAAGATCGCCCCTGGTCCTGTGCGAACCCTTCGATTCCGTATCGAGTCATGGTACGTTCGATTCCGTCGTATCTATTTCAAATCAGCAGAATTCGGGTTCAGATAATTCGAAAATAACCGACTACCTTCTGTTCAGAACTATATGTTGAGCACGCATAGTGCGCTCATGTAAGCCATTATGTGTCTTTAACCCTGATGTAAGACACGTAAAATTGAGTCCATATTCAGTCATTCAGTGATTTCTGGAACATTTTCTTGTCCCAACTTGCGAATTTGCCCAAGATTGCATTCACTCAAGTCTCGTGCATTGCTTCGATTCAAATCAGATTCGAGGGACCTTGATTGAATGCAATTCGCTCTTGTATAGGGCATATGAAAAGAACATCAAAGGTAGTGAGAGGAAACGCAGAACATCTGATTAGTTTCTACAAACAAGGAAAAAAAGCATGACTTCAAAATGCGTGAGTCATCTGTGTAAGCGGATGGAGACACATACAATAGTTTTGTAATGATGTCAATACCTCTGCGTATGACATATACTGAGTGAAGGTAACTTGTCCTGCTGCAACTGCACGCCGGCTGTAACAAAAACATGTGACATAAGCCTTTGGATTAAGGCCGAGATAATACGTGGTTTAACGGCACTTCTTTAATAATGAAATTATGGTCCAAATATCTTTGACTTTTGAATTTAAGGGAATAAACCACTGAAAATCTTCATATTTTGGCCCACTTCTTACTTTTATCTGTTTTTTCCTAATAATCATTCCGAGCCAAACGCCGCAAACCCCACCGCAAAATTCAAACTACTTTGGCTTATGCACATTTTTTAAATTCAGAAAGGAGTGAAAATTTAATGCATGTTTTCCACCAGTTTTATAACGTTTAGCTGTCTCACTAGAAGTTCAATGACAAATCCCTTCAGTCATATAAATTCTGTTGGAACACTCTCATTCCAGGAACGTGACATGCCACGTTCGTTGTTGGACCACCATTCTTTTCATTGCGACAGCGGCTTCTTAGCGTACTTCACAAAGACCTTCAACGCTCCTAGTGTTTGCTTTGAAGTGGCAAGGATGCTGGATGGCGGCACGGCGAACCCTTGTTGCTTGTCGGGCCCTCCTGCCGGCAGCTCCATGCAGAACGACTGTGCCACTCCGGCCACGCCGCGCACCCAGTCGGACACCGTGCCTGTCGCGGGATCTGCACAATCCCCGAACAGCCGAAATTATGACATGCATTTTGTAGCGCACCATCGTGACGTGACTTGAACTACCAGCTCAGGAGGACAATAGAAAAGGCGGTGTTAATGAAGCATACTCACAGTCGGCTGCCATTGCTTCGATTTTGTCGGATTTGGCACCGCCAGCGACCAGAGCGTTGTTCACTTCTTTGGCGATTGTCGTCTGAATCACACAAATCACGGGTGTGTCAATAGTAGTGTCTTGATGCCTTCGACAGGCACTGAAAAACTCTACCGTACCAATGGCGCCGCATCTGGCAGCTTTGGAGCCGTCGCAGAGTAACCCCACGGAAGGTAGATCGACTGTGGCATCAACAGAACAGTGCACGCGGTAAAGATTGCTTCCGTCTCAAATAGCACACAAATATTGACGTACTAACCTGCTCCGGATTGTGAATGTTGACGTACATCTTGACTCTCTTTCCTGCGTTCAGGTTGCGGATGAAAGTCTGGTAAATTACTGTCTCTGGCTCGGACGCAGCTTTCGGACCAGCATACGTCAGCTCGCATGGGTCACTGCTTGCCCCTTTGTTTGACCTGAAGTCTGCAAAATTTACGGAGTGATGACTAGCGACTGCCTTAGTTTGCGTGCAGGAGCACACTCTAAATGTGTAACGGTAAAAGGCTGCACCACCAAATTATGATGGAGATTGCCTCCATAAATCGACAGAAATTAGAAAGAATATCTTTACACGCTTAAAACCTTCCAAAGTATTTTGGGCCTACATAACACAAACTAATTTACTTTGTTACGCGAAGTACTAGATCGTAAACTACGAAGTATTTTCTTTGTGCATTGTCCCCTGTTTACGTGGCCTGTTCTGTCATTTTCCAACTCACCAGCCCAATGGTAGTCGAAATTACGGTTAAGGTCAACTCCAACGCAGTTCTTTTTGCTAGTTGCTCCGCGATTTTTACGCCACATGCGGTCCTGCATGCAGTAAGAATGTGTATTGTGTCACCGTTGCGGAGAACCACGGCGATACTTCACGACACTCCGGACGTAGGGATCCTTAACTTACCTCATAAGGGCATCATAACGTTATGATAAGAGTTAAAGTTATTACCCTTAACTTCTAACATTTTTTCAAAAGGGTAGGTTATTTTTTTATGTCTCGAATTTGTGTGGATATACTTTTGCTAGTACTTTAATAAATCCGTACCCTTAACTTTTAGCGAACACTGTCTTGTGTTACGTTATGAAAGCAGTGTTAGTTAAATGTTAAGTTAAGTTAAGTTAAGGATCCCTGATTTAGTGTGGAGAAAAGCGCACCTTCGTCCTGGAGTACTCGTAGCCGTCCGGGTTCAGAATGGGCACGACGACCACGTCCAGGCCAGCCCGCAGTGTGGCGTCCTGCACCAGGGCCTCCAGGAAGTACAGCACAGGCGGAAGCGTGATCCACTCGCGGGCGTGCATCAACGCGTCCACCAGCATGATGGGGTTGTTGGCGCCGCCAGACGACACGCGCGCGTAGTAGATCTCTCGGCCCTCCACGGACCGGCCCACGCTGCCCACCGTCACCAGCGTGGGGTAGCGCTCCTTCAGGGCGCGCAGGTACGCCTCAGTCTGCCAGCCAGAGAGTGGACGTTGCTAGCTCGGTAACAAGGCAGGACACACGACCAATCCCAAGGACAGACTTCTAGCTGACATTGACATTAGATACGTAAGCAAGCGTGCAGAGCCGCCTGAAAGAAAGGTGGTAAGTCGCATTTTGCCCAACACCCTTAAAACCTTACGAAGCATTTTGAGCATACATACGTACAAACTAATTTACTTTGTTCTACGAAGAAATAGTTTGAAAATTACGAAGTATTTTCTTTTAAGCCTATGTATGCTTAAAATACTTTGTTCTTACAAAGGCCTGAAATAGATTTTGAGGTTTTCTCAGGGAACGATTCCAAGATCGCCCCTGGTCCTGTGCGAACCCTTCGATTCCGTATCGAGTCATGGTACGTTCGATTCCGTCGTATCTATTTCAAATCAGCAGAATTCGGGTTCAGATAATTCGAAAATAACCGACTACCTTCTGTTCAGAACTATATGTTGAGCACGCATAGTGCGCTCATGTAAGCCATTATGTGTCTTTAACCCTGATGTAAGACACGTAAAATTGAGTCCATATTCAGTCATTCAGTGATTTCTGGAACATTTTCTTGTCCCAACTTGCGAATTTGCCCAAGATTGCATTCACTCAAGTCTCGTGCATTGCTTCGATTCAAATCAGATTCGAGGGACCTTGATTGAATGCAATTCGCTCTTGTATAGGGCATATGAAAAGAACATCAAAGGTAGTGAGAGGAAACGCAGAACATCTGATTAGTTTCTACAAACAAGGAAAAAAAGCATGACTTCAAAATGCGTGAGTCATCTGTGTAAGCGGATGGAGACACATACAATAGTTTTGTAATGATGTCAATACCTCTGCGTATGACATATACTGAGTGAAGGTAACTTGTCCTGCTGCAACTGCACGCCGGCTGTAACAAAAACATGTGACATAAGCCTTTGGATTAAGGCCGAGATAATACGTGGTTTAACGGCACTTCTTTAATAATGAAATTATGGTCCAAATATCTTTGACTTTTGAATTTAAGGGAACAAACCACTGAAAATCTTCATATTTTGGCCCACTTCTTACTTTTATCTGTTTTTCCTGATAATCATTCCGAGCCAAACGCCGCAAACCCCACCGCAAAATTCAAACTACTTTGGCTTATGCACATTTTTTAAATTCAGAAAGGAGTGAAAATTTAATGCATGTTTTCCACCAGTTTTATAACGTTTAGCTGTCTCACTAGAAGTTCAATGACAAATCCCTTCAGTCATATAAATTCTGTTGGAACACTCTCATTCCAGGAACGTGACATGCCACGTTCGTTGGAGCATTGTGTCATATTCGTTTGCGTGTGAATTGGCCAAAAATCAGCTTGTTCACATTCAAACGAACGTGACACAATGCTCAAACGAACGTGACATTTTGTCACGTTCGTTTCAACGTCATGTCACGTTGCTGGAATGAGAGTGAAATTAGTTTCAGAGTAGCGAAAACCGAATGGCATAGGTTACGTCCCTAATCGTTAACTACCCTTCCACTCGTACCAAAGTTCGTGCAAAAACGAGTTAATAGAAAGTCGTGAGAGCGGTACCTGATATGAGTGGATGATTCCACTCCTACCGCAGCGAGCAAGACCACGATGAGGAGGCCAAAAGGCGCCATGGTTGTTGCTCCAAGAGTCCCTCAAGCGCAAATTTGTGTGCCTCAAGGCAATATACCCGCAGACTTATAGGCTGTTTCGCGAACTGGTCTGCAAGTCACGTGGACAACGAGCCACGCCACGGGAACGATCGTGCACTTTCAATTTCGTACTGAGAAATGCCGTGCAGTCATGATACTAAACTGCAGGGTTCGGAAAGTTACTCAATTTTTTGTAACTAGTACCGTTACAAGTACTTGGCCCAAAATTTTTACTAGTTACTGTTACCGTTACTTTTGTCCAGAAAAGTAACTAGTATCGTTACCGTTCCCGAAAAATTTGTAACTAGTTACTTTTACTATTACTTTTTGGCAGAGTAGAGTAGTTCAATCCGTAAAACAGCCGCCCCTCCCCCGGTCACTTTTCCAAGCTAATTGGGTTCAATAAACGCCGTCTCTTCATTGCTTCTGCGACCAAGGTCAAGTGCACTGCCTCGCCCATTGCGACCGTACTTTCACGCCATCTCTTCATAATTGACCTGCCGTGCCGTTTCCCAAACATGTGACCCGCCGCCCGCCCGCGCGTCTCCTGCCTTTGTCTATTCAGGCCAGGCAGTGGGAGAGAGAGAGAGGATGCCACGCATCTTGCTTTGTCCTTTATGCCGTTCTCGGGACCAATAAACCAGGAAGGTTGGCCGGCAAGGACTACGGCATCCGGAACGAATTGTCGCGCCCTCTCTCCCTGGCAACACACGTGAGGACAAAACCATGAGAAAGGGCGCCCTTTCTCATGACAAAACAAAGCCAATCCGAGAAAAATATCTCGTAAGCGCCGAGTTTTGCGTCACGTGGCGCGAGAAAAAAATGGAAAATGGCGGCCCCGGCGAGTGAAATGTAACTGTAACGAACAACTAGTACGTTACCGACAAATTTGTAACTAGTACTGATACAGTTACCTAGCCTGAGAAAAGTAACTAGTTATTAGTATCGTTACTCAAAAAAGTAACTAGTACCGGTATTGTAACTAGTTACTACTAGTAACTTTCCGAACCCTCCTAAACTGATTCTCAGAACCGCGCTCAGTACTTACCGTTACAATTCTATCACAATACAGGGACATTTCTTCGTAATATAAAGGAACTGGTCATAAGTTACTGAGAACACTTCACCATGATTACCACCATCGCTGTGCTGTCATGATACTAAGCTTTGTGTTCGTATTTCGAAAAGCTGAGTGCACGCGTGTCAATTTTTTGAATGTCAGAAACCTGTCTGAAAACTTGACCAAAATTTCGCGCACCTCTAGCCTGAAAACTTATTCTGATATACTGTTGAAATCAGGCCATCAATATCAGGAAAAGTTTTCAGAATTTCAGCTTTCATGGGTGCGCGAATTTTGATCAGAATTTCAAACATATTTCTGACATTTTGACAGAATTTTCACGAGAGGGCTCACACTTAACTCTTGTGCACTGTTTTAAATCCATAATTACGTATACATTTTTATTCATAATTATGCATGTACAGATACGCACGTTGGGTGCTTGATTGTGTACATTTTATGCATATTCCTGCATACAATGGACATGCCCATGTGATGCACAATATAATACACACCTTACCTTACGTTCGTATCAGTCCATGCATGATTATGCATAAAAAGTCTACAAGAGCGAAGTGTGATCCTAACAGTGTGGTGAACACGATGCTCGCTTGAATTCGACACGACGTTCATTTGAACACGACTCTGGTAAAAGCGGGAAGAGAGTCCCGAAAATCGTGACCAGACAACTTCGTATGACGCACTGTAAAAAGTGATCGGAATTTTACCATTCACTGGTCTAGCAAAATTCCTATACATGTATAGGAATTACTGATATTCCGATACATGCATAGGAATTTTCCGATTTGTATAGATTTTTTACTGTACGGGCCGAAGCTGTATAGGAAAATTACTATACATGTGTATAGCAACTGCCAGAAATCCTATTCATGTATAGGAATTTCCCAATACGTGTATAGAATTTAAGTCGCGCCCCAACTAGTGTCCCCCCCCCCAAAAAAAAAACTGAGCAATATCAACCAAATGCTAGGAAAAGAAGGATATTTATAATTTTCAAAGCACACTTCCCCTTTTGTTTATTTATCTTCAACTCTTCTGCCAACTGGGTTGTTGATGTGGTGTTGCTATAATGAGTGTTTTGAGTCGGTCCGGCGAAAACTATGATGTTCTTTGGTTCGGTGCTATGATGGCTATTCTGCGCGGACCCTGGCAACCAGGTAACAGGCAGTGCTCTAGAGCGCCACCCGTGTTAGGCCGGAGCCGGAGATACACCCTGAATGGTTTTGTACAAATTTTGTACGAGACATCACAGTTTTTTGTGCACACGAACTTTTCGCACAAATTTGTGCAAAATTTTGTACATTTTTGTACAAAAATGGCGAAAAATGTGCAATTTTTCGTACGAAAATTGTACGTGTGCACAAAAAACTGTGATGTCTCGTACAAAATTGTACATAACATTTAGTGTGTAGCCCCCCTTTGAGTTGCACTAGAGCCCATTTGGGACTACCGCTCTGCATTGTTCTCATGGCCGGGCAACGTAGCCTCTAAGCATGGTCTCTCACCGCCTTTATTGAACTGCAATGGCAACTGCAATAGCAATGGCGGCTATGGCATTGGCAACGGCAACATCAATAGGGAACTGCTATGGAAATGCAGGGCGCTCCACACACACACACACACACACACACACACACACACGAACGTGTTGACGCCTTCAGTCCTTCACCTGCGCGGTACGTGAGTCTACGACCTGGTGACGTCATTCGCCGTCCCGACTGCGGGCCGGGCCTCCAGACGAGGCTCAGTGTCCGCTGGACGGCCGCGCGCGTCGCACCGGCGAACACCTGGCCGGCCTTGACAGTGCGGTAGGCGGAGAAGCGTGCGAACAGTTCTGCCTCAACATCGACAAAAGTGATCTCGCCGTCTCCAACCCAGTGCAGTGGTGCCGCAGAGTGAGAAAGTCCTGTTTAAACGCCAGACATGTGACCCAATGCACCGGTCATTGTTTAGCCGCGCAGAGAGGTCTGAGCTAGAGAATTGTGGCAGGGTGAAGAAGTTATGGGTGAAGAACAGGTTAAAAATTGACTTGGACGATTCGTAGTGTTTTTAACCATGTCGGAGTAACCCCGCGTGTCCTTAAGGTGCCCTCGAATTAAAACTACTGAAAGAAGAGGGAATTTGAAAACAGATAAGCTTCATTTTTCATAGTTACAAGGGTCAATCTACAGAAATGTTACAATTTCGCGTTTTAAACTGTAAAAAAAATAAAAGTTGTCCGATTTTGTTCATATTGGCCTTGTTTTTCTTGTTTTGGCATGCAGAATGCGAAACGACATCAAGCGCAACGCTTTTCGAGATTTTTTTTCCCCTTAAATCACAGAGGAAATGACTATGGAGTTTACATAAATTGACGTCTACACTCTACAAAAAATGTCCTGCCAACGCCGTTAATTTATTACCAATGTTTGCTGTTATGCAATTCACGGCGTTTGCTGTGAACTAGTTCACGGCGTTCATTGTGATCTCGGTTACAGTGTTCACTGTGATCTGCCCACAGTAAACGCCGTGAAATTTGGGGCGTGATTTGCAGTACTTCGGTGCTCAGGGGGCGTCAAACTCACAGGTTTACTGTAGACCAATAGATCACAGTGAACACCGCGAACAAGATCACAGTGAATCGCGTGAGCAGATCACAGTAAACGCCGTGAATTGTATCTACAGTGGAAACTGGTAATAAATTAACGGTATTGACAGGACATTTTTGGTAGAGTGTGCGGAGTTTACATTTTTAAGCAAATACCTGGATTGCAGCCCTATGAGTTGAAACAGTAGATCGCGCACAGACAGCTGACTAAAGGACCACCAAAGCAATGATCCGCATTTAAAAAAAAAAAAAATCATAGTTCAGGAAATTATTTAAAATTTTAAAAAGAAATTTTTTTTTTAAAAAAAAAGTAAATTTTGTGTCGAAATCATTTGAAAATGAGCTTCAAATGAAATATGAAAATCCAATCATTTCTCTTAGCTGTATTGTTGTTAGCGGCAACTCCGGCCTTGGGTTTTTCCCCCTTGTTCCACCCTCACTACTGTACTGCGGGTTCCCCGGGGACGCAGGTACTGATTACAGCACCTCGGCCGGAAACCCCCAATCCGCTCGTCGACGCATCATTTGCTTCTTAATAACAGTCATGAGGAGTCGCTTCGATTGTCATGCCATGCCAACGAGAGAGTGTCGCTGACCTTCGGACATAACCCATACATTGTAACTCTCGAAGCGGCGAACCGGCGAACCACTTTATTTTATTTCATGCTCCAGCATTGGGGCCGCAGGCTCGGACTGGCCAGGGCAGACAGGCAGAAAAATCAGCCGGGGCCTTCGGATTTGTGACCAGTGACGTCACACAGTTGGTCAAAATGTGATTGAATCTCGGAAATTTGCTGATTTTGCTGACTTTGGGCGGCCACTGTGTCCAATCTAGTTGCCGTAAAAGGCCTCCCTCGACGTCCTAGTATTCTCAAGACCCTACTCTTTCATGCCCTGTATCGGGAAGACGTTGACCACAACGATTTTGCCTTTGACCGCAACGATTTTGGGACCAAAGTTGGTCAAAAAGTGGTCGAATCTCGGAAATTTGCTGATTTTGCTGACTTTGGGCGGCCACTGTGTCCAATCTAGTTGCCGTAAAAGGCCTCCCTCGACGTCCAAGTATTCTCAAGACCCTACTCTTTCATGCCCTGTATAGGGAAGACGTTGACCACAACGATTTTGCCTTTGACCGCAACGATTTTGGGACCAAAGTTGGGGTCAAAAATTGGTCGAATCTCGGAAATATTTGCTGATTTTGCTGACTTTGGGCGGCCACTGTGTCCAATCTAGTTGCCGTAAAAGGCCTCCCTCGACGTCCTAGTATTCTCAAGACCCTACTCTTTCATGCCCTGTATAGGGAAGACGTTGACCACAACGATTTTGCCTTTGACCGCAATGATTTTCCGACCAAGTTGGTCAAAAAGTAGTCGAATATCGGAGATTTGCTGATTTTGCTGACTTTGGGTGGCCACTGTGACCAATCTAGTTGCCGTAAAAGGCCTCCCTCGACGCCCTAGAATTCTTAAGACCCTACTCTTTCATGTCCTGTACGGGAAGGCTATTGACCGCAACTAGTTTGGGAGCGGTAGCCTCACAAAGTTGGTCATGAAGGGTGAAAACAATGATGATCGGGGGCCTTTTGCGGTCTTATCTGCCGGGGCCTTTTGGGGGCCAGTCCGAGCCTGATTGGGGGAATGAGCTGGATTTTAACAAATTTCTGTGGTACTTGCCGGTAGCAAACGCAAGTCTGTGCATGGCACACTTTGAGTTGTGTGGATCGCACACTGCTTTAAGCTTTGCACCTCCACGCACACTGTTCCAAACTGAGTGCCTGGAGGCCTGGAGGGACAGTTCCTAGCTCTGTGCCATGGACCTGGTTACCATGAGAGGGGGGCACCCTTCTCTGATGCTGGCACTCAGTTCTAAAATGCGTGCCTGACAAACACGCCGTTTAGAACAGCGTGCACTACAGGCGTACATTTTAAATCGAGCACATTTTGCGTGCTTTCTTCAGAAATCAGTTTTTCTTAGAAACCAGTGCAAATAAACTTTCAAAGACATTTTTGGATCAAACGTATGAAATTAAAATTTTCTTAGCCAGATTTTTTAATAACCTACAAATAACAAGACTTTCATACTGAGTTACAAAGACAACTTCACTTAATGTGAAGACACAAAAACAATGTTGCATGTTGGAACCGATTTATTTTCGCGTAGGGCGGTGTGTCATCAAACTTTGACTCATTAGAAATTTCTGTTACAGTGCAGGGGAATCTGAGGAGTCAGAGGACGCCGATTCGCAAGCCGGGGCAAAGATAACGTCAAGATGATCCTAACTCTGTTCGTGATGTACTTGTATGCCCAACCAGTGCTCTTAGGTAAATTGAGTACTCAAAGGCCACCGGGAAACTGTGTTCTTGGAAGCTTTTATCGTAAATAGAGGGGTGGATCACTGGCGCTTACATGAGTGCAGGTACACTGGTTTTCTAAGTGTAATAATGAACTCATTTCAAAAGCAATATTATATTTATTGCATGATTAGCGCCATGAAAAGTTACTGCATTATAAGTGAGATAAATATTGTATTGCATTAGCGAATGTACCACTTTTCTGGCGTAGTTATCACTTTATTTTCGCCAAAACTGTGATAATCTGGGCCCAGACCGGCCGAAGATTTTTTTAACGAGATAATATTTTATTGCTCTTGTGGATTCGAGAATTTGAAGGAATCGCACCAGTCTTTTAATCGCTGCTAATTGTATGAAACTTATCACATTAGAAATACCAGTGATATCACGACTAAAATTTCGGGTGAGGTATTCTTTATTGCTCAAATTTGGGCGAGAATAATTTTATCACCCAAATTTGAATGAGGAACCCGTCCTCACCTAAATTTGGATAATGATACTATCAAGCCACATTAAGAGCTGATACATTCTTTATCGCCCAAATTTGAATGATTATGCTTACCTCGCCCAAAATTGGGTTGTTGAACAAGACTTTTTCATTTTCTGTGTTTGATTCTATTAATGCTCGATTTCGTACTTAAGTTGTGTGCTATAAAGTTGGAACTAATTCATTGTGCTTCATTGTCACCAGCCTGCCCACCGATCCAGCTGAAGACAGTGTTGGCGGCGTGCACACTGGAAGGGAAGCCCATCGACTGCGCGCTACATCCGGTGCCTGTCGGGACGCTCGCCACGTTCCGTTGCAAGCCCGGCCTCAAGATCAAGTTCGGCTACCTGCCGGCTTCGAGCTTCGTGTCGCGCTGCGGCTTGGACGGGGTGTGGAGCGACGGTCCCTTCCGCTGCGAGCGGGAGAGGACCACGGCGCCACCAACCACGCAAGCTGCATTGTGGGAGGATGAAGGTAACGCGAATCAAAGCACAGCGGGCCAGAAGACCGGTGGAGGCGGCCGAAACTCTAGACGCGCTTTGTGCTCTAGGGTCGCTCTAGGGACTCAATCATCGAGTGACACGTCCGACTTTTTTCTGGGGGGGGGGGGAACTATGGCCGCCCCCTTTTTCTCCTTGACCCCCAGATAGCCACCTAAAAGGTAGGCAAATATCAACAATTGACCCCTGTTAAAAGGCAAACAGTGATACGTTGCCCCCCTCTCCCCTTGGGACCCCGCGTGGAAGGATCTGTAGTGGAACTGTAGATGAAACTGCAGTTGTTCATCTGCAGTCCGTTTCTGTAGTTCTTTTCTTCCCTTTATTTGTATTTAAAGTGTCATCAGTTTTGTATCGTCCGCTGCAGTCAGTTGTATGATTTAAAGTGGACAAAAACTGTCCTTCCACTGCACTCCGTTGTAAGATCCAACTGCAGTCCACTCTGTCATTCCAAAATGCAGTTGAAACCGCAGTTCAAGTTAGCTTCATCTAAAAGTGCAAAGTGTTGATATCAAATGCAGTTCTCAACTGCTCTTTACTTACACTTGGAAAGTAAAGACTAGTGTATGGCATATACAGTCCCGGGCTCAATTCATGATGCAGTCAGAAACTACACTTTTAGTTTGTCCCACTAGTAGTCCAAGTGTACTACCATCTTCACTCTGAATGTCCTTCAGCGCTGACACTTAAAAGTGATTTAATCTCTTTGAATTTCGCAAAGTGAAGCTCCGCACTGCTTCCGAACCGGCATGTCCGGACAAATGACGTGAAAATTTCCCGTGGAGTGGCCCGCGCCGGGCGGGAGTTGCGGTAAATCCCTCGTCTACCTGAGCGCGCGGGCACGGCCAGTGGCATCGCCCGCGCTGGACCCCGTCCCTCAGATGTCTCCGTGGCGCAGATGGCAGCGCTGCGGACCGACAAGCGCGGTCGCCCGGGTTCGACTACTCATCAGACTGACAAACTTACACGACGAAACAAGGAAAGGAGGGAAGAGGAAGGGCGTGACTGTAGAGGGCCATCAATTCTCGACACTATTTTTTATATTTTTACTCAAATTTGTAGTTTTTACAAAACTGTTTTGAACTGTCCGACAAAACTGTAGTTTAAACTGAAACGTCCGAAATAAGTACTAGATTTTTTGCAGTCAGAGTACAGTTGAATGACAGTTAAGTGTACTTAAACTGCATTTTAACTGCAGTTCATTGCAAATAACTGCACTTCAACTGCAATTGAGCTGCAGTCGTATATCTGCAGTTAAACTGTGGTCAATGCATACTTCAAACTAGCAGATTTATGAACACTTAAAGATCAATTGAGTTACACTTTAACTTCCCTCCTTATTCACTGCAAGGTGAAGTATGACTTCAGTTCTTGGGTGCAATTCAGACTGCAGATTCTCCCACGCGGGACGACTGTGGATCCGCTACTGCTGTCAAGGGACTCTGGAGCCTAAAACCTGTGTTGAGTTTCGTCCGCCTCCGCTGGGGAGAAATGTTGACAAATAATTTTATTTCCTTTGTCAAAATGTATTTGGAACCGACAAAAGTGCTTGTGAAGGAGATACGCTTCGGAAAACTCTAAAACTAATCCACTCATATGAGTCGGTGAGGTTGTGTTGCCGTTGCCGGCGCCAGTTCAGGTTTTGTTCTTCCTCTTGTTCTTCGATCGGCGACGATCAGAATACTCCTTCCATTCTACAGCTTAGAAACTTAAAAACTTTTCGGATAAGTTACTGTTAACGGTACATTGTGGCTTAATGAGGGAACATTTTTGTAGCTGAAGATGCGGAAATATATGCATCTTACGAAAGGCTGAACAAATAAGTCAGGTTTACTTCCTCACGGGCACAGACGCCGTTTGCTGGCCGTTTGCCAGTCAACTCAAAATATTTCGGTCACTTATTATCCTCTACAACACACACTTGAAACACATATTCCAATGCCAAAACATTGTGCAAAACCTTAAGCATTGGAATTTTTCTTTTATTAAGAAAAGACATATTTATCCAGGAAAATGTGAAAAAAAAGCCTTGAACAAAGATATTTTTTTTATTTTTCCATTAAAAAAACAAACAAAGGCAACTTTTTTTTTCTTTTAACAGTGTTTGTTAGCGCAAACTAACGGCGGTTGCACCGAGCTTACCCAACACCTCGGGATAAGGCAAAAAACAATCACACTATGCAGTTTTTGGGGCATAAGCTATGCACGAAAACTCTGCATGCGTTTCAATATGTTCGAATTTCATGCTTGAAGCAAATTTCATGCGCAGTTGCGCACAAATTTGTGCATTTTGAAACGCGTGCACAGTTTCGTGTACAGCTTACGCACCAAAAGCTACATAGTAATTAAGTGTGAACCTCTGTCTTTTGTGCTAATAATGTTTTGTGTTCAGCAGCCTGCCCGCCGATCCAGCTAAAGACAGTGCTGGCGGCGTGCACACTGGAAGGGAAGCCCATCGACTGCGCGCTACATCCGGTGCCTGTTGGGACGTTAGCCACGTTCCGTTGCAAGCCCGGCCTCAAGATCAAGTTCGGCTACCTGCCGGCTTCGAGCTTCGTGTCGCGCTGTGGCTTGGACGGGGTGTGGAGCGACGGTCCCTTCCGCTGCGAGCGGGAGAGGACCACGGCGCCACCAACCACGCAAGCTGCATTGTGGGAGGATGTCGTCACCACGGTGCTTGCAACGACACAAGCTCAAGCAGAAGGGCAAGTCACCACGGTGCTTGCAACGACGCAAGCTCAAGCAGAAGGGCAAGTCACCACGGTGCCTTCAACTACGCAGGCTGTATTGGTGCAAGACAAAGGTTAGACGCGCGTAGATTTTAAGTTGGAGGGAGCACTCATCTCCAGTCAACGCGTCCTATTAGGAAAATCCTAACTGCCAGAGTAGATCAAGACAATCCTAAATGTCAGAGCAGATCCAAGACAATCCTAACTGTTAGTGTCAATTCAGGACTATCCTCATTGCACATGACGTGAAAAGCGGCCTTTTTTCTAAGTCCGTGGCGCCAGCCAACATACTTACTAAAATGACTCGCCGAAGGGTAGGGTGTTTCACTCGGTCGAATTTGATACCCACGGCATGTTTTTCTGAAAGGCCATAACGTAACTTGAATTTTGAGCCCTCGATGAGCGGAATCGGACAACGCTAAGTGACCGCGCATCGAACCTAAAGATTTTTCAGCCTACTCGAAAAACGCGCGCGCCGCCGGACAAAGGCAGGCCCTGCGCCGAGCCGGTGCAATGGATTCACACCAGACCGTCTCAGCGTCGTTCACAAGGGTCCATGGTAGGTGCCTCTTAACATTTTTTACCGGCCGGTACTATAGCGGCGAAGGTTAGGTTACGCAAAGTCCGAACTTCGTCCAGCCGCCAAACGGTTTGAGCCAGTGACCCCGAATCGAGTAGCGCGCTAGCCGGGCCGTGTCCAGCCGCCCGCATGCAGCGCACCCATTCGGCCAGCGGGCAGGCGGCGCCCGGCTCGGCACGTCCCGGTCGGCCCGGAGCCTGCGCCGGGCTGGATTCAAACGCTGGGCAGGCGCGTCGCGACAATCGCGTCGCGTTTTCGCGGGGATCGATGTGTAGTTACTCGACCGGAAGTTTTTGAATCTGTTACTAGTCTGACCGACTCGATGCATACCAAATTCGGGGTCACTGGCTCAAACCGTTTGGCGGCTGGACGAAGTTCGGACTTTGCGTAACCTAACCTTCGCCGCTATAGTACCGGCCGGTAAAAAATGTTAAGAGGCACCTACCATGGACCCTTGTGAACGACGCTGAGACGGTCTGGTGTGAATCCATTGCACCGGCTCGGCGCAGGGCCTGCCTTTGTCCGGCGGCGCGCGCGTTTTTCGAGTAGGCTGAAAAATCTTTAGGTTCGATGCGCGGTCACTTAGCGTTGTCCGATTCCGCTCATCGAGGGCTCAAAATTCAAGTTACGTTATGGCCTTTCAGAAAAACATGCCGTGGGTATCAAATTCGACCGAGTGAAACACCCTACCGAAGGGCTTATTGAAACGTTCCATCTTTCTATAAGTACATGGACATTGTATTTCAGAGACTTCGAGATTCACTGATATGTAGTGGAGATACAACGAGTTACTTGAAGACAAATTCAAATACTATAAGGTTCATTAATTTAATGCATTAATCTACAAGATTTAGAAACCATCTCATGCTCACACTGGTTTTACCTGCTTCCGTGTCATGCTCAGTTCCAGCATCAGTTCCAGTCTGGGTTTCCACAAATTCAATTATATCATCAAAATATTCACGGATTTAATTAACAGATTTCTTCCAAGAATTCCATCTGGTGATAACTGGAGAAGGAAATCCCTTTCATTTGGTCTTGTCTTCTGGGTATTTTTCTTGTAAGGGGCCGTTCAAATGTGACGTTACGCTTTTTAGGCTCATTTTTTGACCCCCCTCCCCTATAGTCACAAATGGTCACTATTTTCACTCACCCCTCCCCTCCCCGTGACGTCACATTGTCGAAATCATTATTCTTGGCAACGGGAATAGACAAGCGACTACATCGTCTTAATTAGGTGCCTAAATTGGAATTTTCTAACAATTTGATTGCATTTTGGAAAATCCGGTCGAATCTGGTCTAACGCTAACTTGTTCGGAAAAATCTGAGGAAAGTGCAGTTAAAATACCCAAGCCAGTGACAGTTTAAGCTGAAGTAGGCGGGGATTGCTGATTTCAGTTTATTTCTTAGTGGCTCACTCCTTTCATATTTGGCAATTTTACACTACTTAAAAGTGTGATGTCACAATGCCTTCATCCCCCTCTCCCCCATGTCACATTTGGTCACGATTTCTCTGGACCCCTGTGTGGTACTGACGTCATTTTTGAACGGCCCCTTATTGGTGGAGCTTGCTCCTCAGATGGGATACGGAGAGATGTGACGTTGACGTTTTATCTAACGCTCAAAGCTCTCTTCCTTCTCTACAAATCAAAGAGTGTACATAGTATGCTCTAACTGGAGCATGCCTGCAAGCACGCTCTAGCTAGCGCATGCCTGCCAAGCATGCACTAACTAGTGCATACATACCATGTACACGCTTCCTGGCGCAGAAAACTCCCTATCCCTTATGCAGTAAATGTATGCTTCAGTTAGCGTGTACATGGCATGTATGCACTAGTTAGTGCATGCTTGGCAGGCATGCGCTAGTTAGAGCGTGCTTGCAGGCATGCTCCAGTTAGAGCGTACCATGTACACTCTTTGATTTGTAGAGTTTTTCTGTAGATGACACGTGTACATTAAAACATACGTAGAGTAGTACAAGACACATTGGTATCAGATTGTTTTGTTTAAAGACCATGGCAGGATCATAATTTACTCCCCCTCTCCTATTACAGTGGTCTGTCCACCGCTGAAGTCCAAGACGGTGTTGCCGGAGTGCCGCTTGGAGGGCCAGTCCGTCGAATGTGAGGACCAGCCAGCGCCGGTTGGCACCGTTGCGAGGTTTCGCTGCAAGCCGTTGCACCAGTTCTTGTTCGGCTATTTGCCTGATTCAAGATTTCAGTCACGCTGCGGCGCAGATGGCCAGTGGACCGTGCGTCCGTTCCGATGCGAGCCAAGTAAGTTTAAATTTTCACAAAATTGTTTCGGAATTTTGTTATCTTGTGTCCATATTTTGCCATGTTGGTTGTATTCATATCGGTGTTTGGAAAATTGTTATCAAAACTTCTTTGCAAACTATTTCCCATGGGTGATCCGATGGTGATACAATTTTTTTCATCAACAAGTGAAACTCTTTGCAAGCTTACAAACACATCGGTTTGCAAGGTTTTAAGAGTGTAAAACAAGTATTTATAGTAGGCATCGGACGATATGTGTCCGATATGTGTCACCATGCGGTAACAACATTATTGTTGTATTGCAAAATTGTACTCGGATGTGCATAAAATCGACCTGTTTTACAAGCCCACATAACAGGTTTGTTCACGTATTTTGCTCTCTAGCCAGCACATTTGTATGGGTGAAACACTTCCTGGAACTTCGTGGCCCTAATATCGATACCTCCTAGCAACAGACACGTACTTCGGGCACGCTTCTCAAAACTCACGTACTTTCGGCAGCTTGTGCAACAAACACGCAGTTTCGCCATTTCTAGTCAAAAAGCACGCAGTTTCCGCATTTTCGTCCTGGCGGGCACGGAAATGCATTTTGGGTATTTTTCATGGTTGGGCTAGTGAGGTACAGTCACTAAGTCACCATTAATAACCTCAAAACGGTTTCAAGAGTGATCTGCATTGAAATAGTGCAGGAAGTTTGGAGGTTAAAGGTGGGCCTATATTTAACGACAGATCGTTCCTGAAACCGTTTCCAGGTTATCAATGGTGACTTACAGACTGCACCTCACTTGCACAACCATGAAAGTTACCCAAAATGTATTTCCGTGCCCGCGAGGACGAAAATCCGCAAACTGCGTGCTTTTTGACTAGAAATGGCGGAACTGCGTGTTTGTTGCACAAGCTGCTGAAAGTACGTGAGTTTTGAGAAGCGTCTCCGAAGTACGTGTCTGTTGCTAGGAGGTGTCGATATTAAATATCGCCCACTCAAATGCCCGGGCTCGTAGGCAAAATCCGTGAACAAAGCTTGGATAAAGGGTTAATTGCCTGAGTCGTGGGACCAAAAAGTGGCCCACGAAATTTAGTGTGCACTGAGAAAACCTTACAAACTATTTTGGGCCTTACAAAGAAAAGTAGTTTGTATAACAAAGTATTTTGAGCATACGTAAGCTTACAAAGAAAATACTTCGTGATTTACGAACTATTTCTTCGTGTAACAAAGTATTTTAGTTTGTTATATGTATGCTCAAAATACTTCGTAAGGTTTTATCAAGAGTGTGTAGTGTGCGTGCACCAGACCCCTGATCGGTTTTCCTGCGTAGTTTGCGGGCAGCCGACGGGCAAGGGGATCGGCTTCATTCGGGACGGCAATTTGACGTCGTCCGCCGCGGACTTCCCGTGGCACGTCATCATCTTCGACCTGACGCAAGACATGAAGCAGATATGCGGCGGCACGCTCATCTCAGCCAAGTTTGTCGTGTCGGGTAAGAGTTGCCAGGATCGAACTCTTCCTTTATTCGGGACCATGTAGTCGTTAAATGGTGAACTTGATTGGACAAAAGTACCCGACCCCATCATGCCAGTTTCTTTTGTCGGGCACAGCGTCTAAACTGTTCAATTTGGAGCAGTGGCGTGCGCAGAAATTTTGAAAGGGAGGGGTCAGGCCATGCTTTTTGCCTACTTACAGGGGGGAAGTGACGCAATTTGCCTACCTTCCAGGCGGCTGTCTAGTGGCCGGGGGTCCTGACACCCCCTCCCCCCCTCCCCCGCACGCCACTGAGGGGCGTAGTAAGCGAGCCGATAGCGAAGGCAAAGTGTGGCAATGGCCAAGGAGATCGTGAAGCCATGCTCGAGTGTTCGTTGCAGGGATTACGCACTTCTTCGGGATTATGAAAACTAGGCATTCGTTTTCAAAACGGTTTGCACCGCTGGGAAGAGCTTGAAATGAAGAGTGCATTAGGCTAGTTGGCTTCCTTGATACTTGCTGTTTTAACCTTAAAGAATTGAAGGATTTGCACCAAACAACAACAAAAATCTGAAATTTAATAATAATTTCGGCTGCGCCATTTCCATTGTTAAAACTGCCGCTTGTGTGGGCTAAATTGAGGGGACTCAGGCAGGCCACTACACCTAATGCACCCTAAATTTCATACTTTTTTGACACGTGCAAAGCGTTTTGCAAACACCCGCCTATTTTGCAAAATCTCGAAGAAGTGCGAAACCCCTACACATCGCTCGCGCATGACTTCACCTACTTCCTTGGCCCCGCCACCACGTGTTAAAGGTTCCAAGCCCCAAATTGGCTCGCCGAAGCTACACTGAAGACACACTGAGGTTCCAAACGCTGTGAACATAGCATTAAAATATCGCACCATGCGTGGAATGCGGTGGCCATTGCTCCTAACGTGCAGTCCATCCCGAAAACGCCCTGTGCTAATCCATGGGAATGGGAAGGCATTGCACTTTATGTGCACCAACACTGTGAAAATTTGAGTCGTCACTTGATGACAATTTCAAGGCTAATTTTCCTTACAACAATTTCATCAAAACAATTGATGACTTTGTTGTCACGCCCATGCAATAAGTATAGGAGCTCTGATGAAAATGTCGTCGAATTTCGATGAGACTGTCATCATTTGAAAGTGATGGAAATATCATCCATGTTGTTGTCATAGTGACGATAAATTTTCACAGTGAAGTGACGGCTTTTTCAAAGCGTTTGGATTCTCAGCGTATCCGTTTAAATTGACGCTGTAGCCAGAAAACCTGGCCGGACCGTGTGGTTTGTTTTCTCTTAGACTACTTTGTGCGTACTTATAAATGTTCGATCCGGAAAAATGTAATTACTCACTTATGCTTTCAGCCGCACATTGCTTTCACGATGGTAAGAAGGCACTATTCCCTACAATGTACATGGCCGGTTTCGGCAAAATAAAACGGAGTGTCAGCGTCCCTGAACCAAACGAGCAATACAGAGAGGTGAGGTTATAAGTGGCTCAGCTGAAACTTATCTGGCTCTGGCACCAACGCCAGTCGCCCCGAAGGAACACAAACTAAAGTGTACTCACCTCAGTATACATTCAGAGGTGAAAATACTTGCAAAGAGAAGCATGCTTGGCTACGTACACACCCACAGATGCATTCTTCGTCGAGTATGCACTGCATGTCCCTGTGTTTGTATACTGAGTTCTCTCTTCAGTTTGTTGTGTGTGCGTTGCAGTTCTGGAAGCAGCGCCAGGGGACTACGACCAACACTGCTCTGAGCGTCACCACTACACATATGTACGTGTGACCAATACCCGAGCCAATATCTATTTTTTGCAGTTGGAAAAGATCTACCTGAAGGACTTTGGTGGAATCAAAGAGCTGTATTCGAACGACATAGCGCTGCTGCAGCTCACTGCCGAGGTGGACATAACTGCTGCCACCATGCCTGCCTGTATGGATTGGGGACTCCAGCTTCCGAGCCTGCGCCACCGGCAGCGAGGCGCGGTAGGTGAACTGCAACAAATTGTTGTCACTTTAAAATGACGACAATTTCATTATAAATTAAAAAAGTGATGTCAGCGGGTATATAAGCAGTTATAAGCGAGAGAGAAAAAAGTCCATATAGGTCAGAGAGTGTTTTTGATCACCAACTCCCCACCAGGAGTATACACACTTAGAACCCTACAAAGAACTGCTCGTTGTACTACAAAGAAAACGAAGGCTTTGCAGCCTACGAAGAAAATCGTTTGTAACACAAAGAAATAATTCTTTGTAGGCTACGAAGAACTTCTTCGCAGCCTGCGACGGATTTTTTCTTTGAATTACGAACAACATAGTTTGTATTTCAAAAGATTTCCTTCGCAGGGTGCGAAGCCTTCGTTTTCTTTGTATTACAACGAGCAGTTCTTTGCACACCCTTAAAACCTTACGAAGTATTTTGAGCATACAAACATACGTACAAACTAATTTACTTTGTTACTTTGTTATACGAAGAAATAGTTTGTAAATTACGAAAGTTTTTCTTTGTAAGCTCAAAATACTTTGTTCTTACGAACTCCTTTGCTTTGTAAGGCCAGAAATAGTTTGTAAGGTTTTCTCAGTGTAGGATATTTTCTGTTTATCTGAAATCAGTTTTGTGAGTAAGGGACCCGGTATGCAGGTTGTTGGATTCGGTGACACCTCTGCGAGATCGCACGACAACTTGCGGTTCGGAATGCTGCCTTTCATCAACAGTGCCGAGTGTAAGCGGGACGTCAGCGAAAGTCTCGCCGTTTACAACAAGCTGCCCGATAAGTTCTGCATCGGCTTCGTCAACCGTAAGTTTGGGTTCTCATAGGGCGTCTGTTCGAAAATGTGCGAGTACACGCAGATACGAAAACTCACACTATCAAGATACAACTGAGCTTTTTCTTTGTTCTACGAACAAAAAGCTTAGTATTTTGACAGTACGGCGAAGGTTCACCGTCAAAGCACGCCGGGAACTGGTCACCAGAAAAACACCTGCTTAGAAGGTCCCGGCGTGCTTTGATGGTAAAAACTGCTGGTGAACTCGTCGTATTTTCGACGGAAATCCACTGACTTTTTGAGAAGAATTCTGCGCGTGTAGGAAGTCGACCCCTAAGTACAGTAATTACGCAATTGGGGCGTGCGAAAATGATCCCATTGTTTGTGCTACCTTGAGAAAGCTTCTAGTAAGCTAATTTCTTCAGTTCAGTTGTTCTCGTAAAAAATGACCTAAATGATTGACAAGTTTGTCACAGCAAATCAGCAGAAGGTATAAACATGGTTTTGGTCTGTGGCGTGTCACCGATAGAAACGATCGACATGTTGAAGGTCAACACTGACCTCCTCGGAAAGATAGTTACGACCTTTCTCCCATTTCGTCAATTTTTTTGGGAGGAAAACTAAGATAACTTTTTAAGCGGTCTTGCTACCGCTTCTAGCTCTGCATCCGATCCCACTCATCCGTCCATCCATCCAGTTTCTTTTTCACTACAGTGTGTTGCCTTTCACTGTTTTCAACCCATTGAGCGTTTTAACAAACTCTAAACTGACCTTTGTATTTGGAAATTGTATCATAAATTTCAAAAAGTCACGATGGCCAAGGTTCTGAAATTAATATTATTCTTATTTTTTAATTGTGGGAGTGTTTCTTGGGTGGTAGGCTGCGATTGAAAAAACCTGGGGGCCGGATCTGAGCAAGTACGTTGAGGACCACGATGGTTTGACGTGAAATGCTCCTGCCTCTCGAGTGGCAAGAAGCCTGACCATTTGATTTACAGTGTGTTCAGACACTGTAAAATATTCCGTACTTTTGTACGGAAATGGTACAGAAAAATATAGTACGGAGGTACGGAAAAAAGGTACGGAACGTTCCGTAGTTGGCAAGTACGGACGGTCCAGGCAAATTATTGACCAGACATGTTCCGTATAGTACTTTTCCGTACTTTTTTCTTACAGTGGACTGTTCAGTAGTTTGAGCCCACCCTGTATCGTTGCTCTGCGGCAGGCACCACGGTGGCCAAGGGCGACAGCGGCGGCGGCATCGCCTTCCCCGACGACGACCGAGTGTGGTACCTGCGCGGGGTGGTGTCGCTGGGCAGTTCTCAAGAGACAACAGTCTCTTTCTTCACCAACGTCACTCTGTACGTGCCGTGGATATCGAGCATCATTCAGCGCGGCGAGGTACGTATCAAGACTGCGATTTGGTCTGAATTATAATCACTCTTAAAACCTCACGAAGTATTTTGAGCATACATATAACAAACTAAAATACTTTGTTATACGAAGAAATAGCTCATAAATTACGAAGTATTTTCTTTAATGCTTTGTTATACAAACTACTTTTCTTTGTAAGGCCCAAAATAGTTTGTAAGGTTTTCTCAGTGATGGTTGATCCATTGGTTTTTTTAAAGTGCAATGATGAACTCATTTCAAAAGAAGTAACATTTTTATTGCATTAATGTATGAAATCAGTTATGAGTCACGAATCAATCATGGGCCATGTTGTTTGACGGGCCGCTACGAATCCACGAATGAGCGAATGGATTTTAAATTCGGTATGGGTTTTTCCTCAACCTTCCTTTGTCACCTGAAACAGCGTGGATGTCTGCGCAACGACCACAAGGCCACCTATGGGACAGCTATAAGCAAGGCCTTGAAATTCAACGGAAAATTAGACCTATCTGAGGGCAAGACAAAGAGACCATTATAGGGTCACAATCATCCCGATTCAGATAAAATTGACCTGAGCATGACTTCGTGGTATCTGTAGGGGACACATAGTATGCCTGTCATGTCAAGTAGACGATAGTAAGCGTCAGCCCTCAGGTTAATTCTCCGAAAGGGTTAGCCATGCACACTTCTCAGTGTGTGGATTGGTTATCTCCTTTTGACATCTATAATGTGCTGGAGGCGACCTATTTTGAAAAATAAACACAGACCTCTAGGTCTGAAAACGTTTCCGTCTCACGGTGGCCTTCATGACCTTCCCCAGATGAGCGGGCGTCGTTGCGGCGTGGACGTGAACCAGGCCAGCGTCGTCAGTGGTGAGCCAGCCGGCCAGTTCGACTTCCCCTGGGAGGTGGACGTCTACTTCAAGGAGACCTCCAAGCACAACTTCGAGAGCCTCACAACCGGCGCCCTCGTCAAACCCAACCTCATCATCACGCGTCAGTACACTAGGCACTTTGAATTAGATGGAGGGACTGCTATTCGCACCAGGACAAGTTTTGGTCAGGCCTGAAAGTCTCGAGTCGCGCCAAAATTTGGTCAGATACAAAAGTCCTCGTCGCAAAATGGCTAGGCTTTTGTGTCTACCACGGTTTTTAAGCAATAACCGTGCGGCGCATTACGGCCTTACACGGTAAAAACGGTTCCTGGTTTTCCCAGGAACACCCTGGAAATCGCCTGTGTCTCTACCATAGGCTCCCTGGGAAAACCAGGTACCGTTTTTACCGTATATGGCATCTCTGTCAAACACAAAAGTCTCGCCATTTTCTAGCGTGACTTTTTTGTTTGACCATTTTGTGGCGAGACTTTTTTGTCAGACCAAATTTTGGCGAGGCTTCCAGGTCTGACTCGAACATGGCGAGACTTTGTGTCTCGCCTCTGGAGTGGCGAGAAGTCTGACCTTTGGATTTTAAGTGAAAGCCTATCGGCTAAGTGCCTGCACACTTGTGAGACTGCACGTGCAAGTGTAGACTTCCAAACGCTTGTCGAAGCACACCATGGTGCTTTGCCTCTATCCTCCATGTGACGCATACGCATATGCGTGTGTATTTCAAAAAGTCCCGCCTTGTTCCCCCTAAGACGACTTAAAAACCCTTTCCACCCTCAGAAAACAACCGCGCCCCCTAACCTTAACTCGCTAAAAAAAAGAATGTCTTAAGCGCCTGGCAATGGAATTTTTTGGGGGTTCATCTCGCCAATTTTTTATTTTTATTTTTTTCGAAGCAGCCTTTTTACCTTTTTTAAAAAAGGCCTTTTTTGGCGGCTAGGGGCCCTTTACCCAGGCAAAATTTTTGCTTCGGGCGTCTTTGTTGGGGTTTTGTGTGAACTTTCCCCCTAAACCTGGCCCGATTGGCTGGTTTTGAGGAAGGATTTTGGAAAAGGGAAATTTACATCCTAGCAGTTCAGTTTTATAGGAAAAACACCAAAAACGGCGAAAAACGGTTTTCTCAGGTGCCCTCTGTTTAAGAAGGGGGTCTGGGGCGGACCCCCAGCACGCAATAAAAGCCCAGGGTCAAATGGTTTATCGTAGGGGCAACTTCAAAATTTGGGGGTCTGGGGCGGAGCCTTCCAAGCACAACTCGTAAGAGTCCCAGGCAAGCCGGCAGGCTAGCGTCGAAAAGGTACCTCATGCATTGGACGCGTCAGTATCCTAGCCTTTACGAATTGGAGACGGGACTGCTATCCTACCAACTTAAGATTTTGTAGAGTGAAAGTCTGAGATCATGTAGAAATTAAAAAGTTTATTGCAAATGACAAAAAGTCAGGTTTAAGGGACTAAATACCCTTATATTACGAAGAAAAACGTGCAAAGCTAAAGAGGAAATAGTAAATGTTACGTTTGCACAGAAACTTTTTGGCAATAGACAAAAAATCAATACGAGGCTGAGAGTGTGAAGTGTACATTGTCAGTGTCGTTCTAAAGTTGACAGTCAGGTGTGTAGTGCACATTATCCCAACGCAACCCATTTACAATACCTGTTTTCCTTCCTTTCGAACCGACTCAGGTGCCAAAGTAACTTCATCCACCGGGCAGCCAATCGACCTCGCGGAATACCCCGCCGCGTGGTTGCGTGTAACGTCGCGGCTGAGTGCTCGCGTCAAGGATCTCCAGAAGGCAAGGAACATCAGTGAGGTGAGAACAAGGAAAAATAAACAGGAATTTCAGTGTACACATTTTTCAATTCCACAGGCATTTTGGATGAGTCTCAATGAATAACAGCCAAAGTTCCTTGAATTTCGATATGAATTTCACTGGTTTCTCCAAAAAGAATTGTTGCTCTCAACCTTACTCCGTAAGGCTTCGCCTGTTTTGTCTACCGTGACTTATAGAAGTCATACTAACGCGTTTTTAGAGGCGGCTTTTCACTGAACGTGCTAGAACCTCGATTTCCGACTAACTTTTTAAGGAATTTATGGTCCATAAATAAACGTTTTTAATACAAACTTACCCTTTCTTTTGATTGTTTCATGTTCTTTTTGGTATTTGTGGCGCACAGGTGGTTCGCAGTTTCTTCCCTAGTGACGTCCTCAGTGGATCCGGATTATTCTACAACTTCGTGCTGCTGGAATTGAAACAGCCGTTGCACCTCATGCCTGTGTGTCTGGACTGGACTGGCGGGGCGCTGTTGCTGAAAGAACGCTACGGAATGGTTGGTAATGGGTTCATGAGCTCTAACGTGTTGGAGCTTGATAGGAGGGCACCCTCTTTCAAGCTGAAGACGCTGCCAAAAATTTATTTAGCACCGCGTTTGCGTGCTTAAGCACAAAGTAAAAAACACACTGAGAAAACCTTACAAACTATTTAAGGCTTTCAAAGATAAGCAGCTTGTTATAACAAAGTATTTAGAGCGTACATAAGCTTACAAAGAAAATACTTTGTAATTTACGAACAATTTGTTTGTATAACAAAGAAAATAGGTTTGTACTTTTGTACGATCAAAATACTTCGTAAGGTTTTAATGGGTTTTAAGCGTGCAGATTTGACGATTCGGTTGCCTCTTGCCCGCTCTTGCCTCGATGTGACGGCCATTTCAGAAGCCTGCACGAACCTTTCGAGAACCATATTGTTAACAATCAATCACCTGAAGTCATGATTGGCATAATACAATTTTAGTAGAAATAATCTTTACCGTTGCTCATGTTTTTCTGTGTTTTAAGTCACTTCGAGACAGAGAGCAGGATGATGTGACTATGTGGACCCGTCTGCCTATATTAAACGCTACTGCGTGTAAGAAGAAAGTAACACCACAGCCAAATAGTCATCACATATGCACGTTCCAGAGCGGTAAGTGCAGTCGTAAGGAGATTTGAGTCCACGTATTTATTTTTTTAAAATAAGGTTTAGGACTGGTAAAAGTATGTAAATCCTCATCTACCATATAGCATTCCTTCGGGTTTTTTTTGGGGGAGAAGGCTCAGATCGGCTTCATAACAGTCTGTACGTCTTCGCGGACAACACGTGGTTCCTGCGAGGGGTTGTTTCTCAGAACGCTGCGTCAGACAATGGCACAGTCTCCATCTACACGGACATGAGCGATCGTGGCATAAGAGAGTGGTTGGCAAAGACCAGTGACATGATGGGTCGACCCACGGTGAGTAGAAACGCTCTGGTGCAGTGCTCATGGTACGCTGTTAAAATAAATCCTCGGAATTTAAGAAGGTGCTTCGGTCAAAAATATTGCCGAAGACTTCTTCGTTAAATTTTGAAAATTCTCGGTGATGTAAGAAGATTCTTAGTAAATCTACTAACGTCCATCGTAGATTTACCAAGATTCTAAATAAATGCACAAATATTCTTTGTTTTCAACGAACTACAGTATGTCCATAACTTTTTATAAGAACCCTGGGCAGTATATTTGCTGGAGACAGGAGACACCTTCGTTAAATTCCAATATATTTCTTCACTGTGAAACCAAACGTAGTCCACGTGGACTCGGCACTTCCTGGTGTGGAGTAAGTCCCACACTTCAAGTGTGGAGTTGCTCACAGAGCCCCTATCTCTTCTCTGCAAACTCAACAGTGTACTCAGTACACTCTAGTTAGAGTGTGCTCATGAGTACACTCTAACTAGCGTGTACTCGGATAAGTACACTCTAACTAGCGTGTACTCGGATAAGTACACTCTAACTAGCGTGTACTCGGATAAGTACACTCTAACTAGCGTGTACTCGGATAAGTACACTCTAACTAGCGTGTACTCGGATAAGTACACTCTAACTAGCGTGTACTCGGATAAGTACACTCTAACTAGCGTGTACTCGGATAAGTACACTCTAACTAGCGTGTACTCGGATAAGTACACTCTAACTAGCGTGTACTCAGATGAGTACACACCTAAGCACGCCTGGCAATTTATGCGGCTGAAAGAGTGTACTCATCTGAGTACACGCTAGTTGGAGTGTACTCATCTGAGTACACGCTAGTTAGAGTGTACTCATCTGAGTACACGCTAGTTAGAGTGTACTCATCTGAGTACACGCTAGTTAGAGTGTACTCATCCGAGTACACGCTAGTTAGAGTGTACTCATGAGCACACTCTGCACTGAAATTCGAAGGGTGAGACATCTGACCGATTTTCGGTGATACAAAAAGTATGACCGAAAAACGGTCATACATAAATGTATGACCGAAAAACGGTCGTACTTAAATGTATGACCAAAAAACGGTCAGACATCAGCGAGACTGGCTATTGTTTAGCTTGGGGATATATCAGCCTTTACCTGTGATACACTATAAAGTATGACCAAGAGTATGACCGTTTTTCGGTCATACATCGAAGTATGACCCTTTTTCGGTCTTACATTTCAGTATGACCCTTTTTCGGTCGTACATTTCAGTAAGACCGTTATAGCGGTCAGAAGTCTCACCTTTCTATTTTCAGTGTGACTAGAGTGTACTGAGTACACTGTTGAGTTTGCAGAGTTTGCATGGTGCAAACGTGGACGACTCCACATTTGAAGTGTGGAGACTGCAAACTACTCTACAAACTGAAGTGTGTACTCAGTATGCGTCTACAGATGCATACATGCCAGTACACATCTACAGATGCATACTTGGCTGAGTAAACACCTTCAAATGACTCATCCAAGTATGCATCTGCAGATGTGTACTCAGCTGAGTATGCATATGTAGACGTGTACTCATTTAAGTATGCATCTGTAGATGTGTACTCATCTAAGTACGCATCTGTAGGTGTGTACTTGTAAGTATGCGTCTACAGACGCAAACTGAGTACACACTTCAGTTTGTAGAGTATGCATATGCACCTCTAAGTGTCCATTCTGAAATTTTCACTCCTCCGCATTTCAAGTGCGGAGCTCTCCACGTTTGGTTTTACAGTGTCAGCAGCATCTTGTCTGTTTGTCTATGGCAAATTAATCCATCATCTCCAATTCCGATTGCAGAAGTGCGTTAAGTAATGCTGTTTTCCTTGCAGTGTGGCAACGTGCACCTGTGCGAACCGCTAAGGTCGGGACTGTCCCTCAGCGGTCACATGCCCTGGAGCGTCGCGGTGGAAATTCAAGACGGGACAGGCAACACCGTTCAACGATCTGGGATTCTTATTGAGCCGAACGCTGTCCTCACCGGTGAGTTCGCACTAAGAAGTCTGTGAGACATCTGCTTCACAACTTCGAAGAAAATTAAGGCATTGAAGAATTGGTTCGTATCATGCTTGGTGTCATAAAGAAATACTTCGTCTCATAGAGAAATACTTCGTATCATAAAGAAATACCTCATATCATGTAGCAATGGTTCCTACCATGAAAGAATGCTTCGTGTTATGAAGAAATGCTTCGTATTATTATAGGATTTTTCAGCAGTTCCTGCTTTTGAGCCATTTTTTTGTTGGTTTTACAATGCCTTCGTCTTCCTTGAACACTGTTTTCTGCGTGCTCCCAAATTCTTTTCAACGCATCCGGCGCAAATAAAAACTGTTGTGGCGATTTGGTGTTGAGCGCGTAGATTCATTTTTTTGCCTGTAAGTTATTTGATTACCAGTTTCCGCATCATGCGTATCATTAAGTTTCATTTGCAGATGCCTCAGCTCTCGTCAATCTGACCGCCTGGGACGGCTCCAACAATGACCTTGCGAACTATACCGATTCCTTGTCGGTCCTTTGGACAGACACAAACAACAGGCTTAAGACAAGCAGAGTAAGTGTTGTTGATGTTAAATTATTTGTTTCACCAAAGCTATCGAAAAGGATTGGGAAGTAAAGCTGAGGAAGGGGACTAGGCAAATCCGCGCATTTTCCAGGAAATACATCAACTCTTTGCAGCGTTCTTTTCGAAAGAAGGGGAAATAACTTTGGATTTCGGTGTTCAATTGAATTCTACACAAACTTTGGATAAATTTCAATTAATTACAGCTAATTTTCCATGAACTGGACTCGAGTAAAAGCTACCAGACACCTTTATGTGTCTCGTAATTTTAGGTATCTTTTAAAGTAAAGGTATCATCTCTGCCAAAAATTCTGAGATTTGGTTTGCTACTTGACTTTCAGGTGGTGCGGATCAGCCTGTACGAGAGTGCCGAGGCTCAAAGGAAAAGTAGGCGTCGCTTCGACATAGCTCTTCTCGAGTTGCATCCGGACCAGCCTGTGTTTTCGACCCCCGTGTGTCTCGACCTCAACGGCAACGTGCTTCAACAGCTTGCCACTGGTCAACTGGGCCTGGTAACTTCCTTAAACTGTCATTCGACGAATGTGCCGTGATTTTCTTTAGCATATGATTTGTGCGACATTGTTAACGTCCCATGTAGGTTGAAGCTTGGGCATCTTGGGGACCGGCAAACCACAGCTTGGTCAGTGTGCCCTACATGCTACCAACAGAGTGCAACACGCAACTACAACAGTCCATGAATCGGTCGAGGGAATCCATAGAATTCTGCACTTTGGCGGGTCCCGGCGTTCTAGGCAAGTAATCGATTAGAATGTCACTGAGAATAACGTTATGAGCATAGCGTGAATTGGTGCAATACGTTCATTTTTGTCCCACGAGTTAAGCAATTTTAAGCACATTATTGTTGTTTATACGAATACGTCGCTAATGAGAAAAGAGTCAGTGACGTGCTGAGAGTATGACATTCAGTAAGTGAACAGATTTTGCTATAATAGGACACCATCTGAATTTTCTCAACCTTTAGATTCTGCAGCCCAAGGGGGAGGCTACTTGGTGTCCTCCGGAAGCCAGTGGTTTTTGCAGGGGCTTTTCACGGACTATGCCCGTCTGCGCCACCGCACCATTTTCCTGGCAGCGGACTTCCGCGATGCCGCTCTTAGAAGATGGTTGCGAGGCGAACTCAATAAGCTGAAGAAAGGTGAGCAGAGGTTTCATTTTTGTTAAGTGCTCTAGTAAAAATTTCTGCGGAGAGGCTTTGAAGGCCAGTGGCTGCTAGGGCGACGCTTATTTTGACACCAGACCTCTGACAGTCAGCCAGTCTGCAGATCCATGTTGTCGGGTGAAAAATTAATATACATGTTCACTATAATAAGACCGACCTGAAGAAAGAAGCAAACCTTCGTGATCTTCAGTAACCTGAACTGACTATTGTTGCTTAGGTAGTAAAATGTGAGACCTAAGACGAGCGCTTGTAAGCAGCACTGATAACACAGCTTCGCTAATTTAAACGTGAAAGGTGTGCGGTCGTTCAAAACAGAATCGGACAGAGTTCAATGACCGTCAATGACGGAACTGGCCCCTTAGATTCTGCATGTTTTTGAATTTTTGAGTTGCCTGATCCACTTAAAATTTTGGTCTAAAGTGACTTCTTTTTTCCAATGCAACAACCTACTCTGCTTCGTTCGACTTACAGCTAGTTTCCTATGCACACTTAAAATTTTTAAATTTGGTACAATGTTTTCATTTAAAGCTTCATTGTTAATTTTACTTATTATGTGCTTCATTTCTTTTTAAAAAGGTGTCAAACCATTTAGTATGTAAACATGACCCGAAATGCCTTCACCTTACAGTGACATCCAAGCCGCCGGAGGAGAAAACGCCGACGAATTGTGTCGGAGGTCGACCGTCAGAAACTGACGTAAGTTTTTCGCAAAATGATCCATGAAGCTGAAGAAGGGGATAACTCAATTTTCATCATTTTTCCGGAGAAGCAAAAAACTGTTTGCAGGGTAAACTAAATGCAATCAGATGAATGGTGCAGTTGCATTTTTTTTTGTCAAAATAGACTAAGAATTAACTGCAAATTTTCTAAAGTGTAACACCACTCCGTGACTTAAATCTTTACGTAAGAATGGGCTATGGAACCATGTTTACTAACAAGGGAACCTATTCAGGGGGTACACTCAGATTTCGACCAAACTTTTTTTTTCGTAAGAATAACATATAAGATTAAGAATGCACCCCAAAGTTGGTGCCAGAATACATATCCACACCCCTCCTGACTTTTTTATACCGAAAAAAGGGGTAAAATGGCCCATGATTTTACATGCAACGAGCAGATTTTCGGTCGTAAATGGGCAGTCGCACCAAATTTGTGCAAAATATGATAATATATGAAACAGACCAAAAATTTCTCTCATTTTCTTCACAAGGGGACCAAACTTTGAAGGAAATGACAAAAAACTCGACTTCAAATTTTCTGATTCGATGTCCGAAAATGACCCATACAATGCAAAAAGGCTTATTTTACCCCTTTTTTAGGTATTAAAAAATTGGTAAAGGGTGTAGATATATATCTTGGCACCAACTTTGAGGTGCATTCTCAATCTTATATGTTATTCTTACGAAAAAAAAAAGTTTGGTCGAAATCTGAGTGTACCCCCTGCATAGGTTCCCTTGTAAGTTCTACCAAACGGGGTGGACTCGGAGACAATTCAAGTGGAGCTGAAGTCTGCGTATTACTGTGGTACAGTTTTTGAGTTACCTCAACCTGTTTTCTAAAATAAAGAGGGAGTTGAGTTCATTCTTTCCACATTCGATTCATAAAGATACAAGTAGAGTTATCTCCTTTTACTATCTTAGGCATAACGGAGTCATGTGGACTTTGATTGAAATATCTCCATATTCCAGTGAAATGTAGACCCTGCGTCATGTTTTTCATTTGGATTTTCTCCTAAACTGTTAGGATTGGGTCAAATAATTCGTTGTAATGATGCAAACCATCCTGAAGCACAATATAAAGATACAAACTCAATTTGGAGATAAGTCGAATTAATCCTTTCTTGCGCTTCCTGGGTCAAATTTTAAAAGAAATTTGCTAACGCGGCTTTTCAAAACACTTTAGAAAGCGCGGATAACGTATTACTCGACGCTGGATTCCTTTAGAATCACTAAGAATGAAAGAGTGGACTTTTCCATTCTCAGTGATCTCTCTAGTGACATTACATGGCATTACTGGAAATTGTGGACTTCACTTGGAATCCATGGGTGCGACGTCAGAACAGTGTCACGTTTGGTTGGACATGAACTGCGTCTTGGTTCGATTCAAGGTGATTTCGCCCCGAGTCGATCGTAGGAAGTTGTTGAAGCGAACGTCAACGCCATTCCTCTGGTTCCCAGTGTCGTCACTGTTTTCGTGTGTCGGCAGTGCGGCTTTTTCAACTCGAAGGACGAGCTGCAGGACGACAACGATTTCATCTTCAAGACGTCTAGGAACCGCATGGAGTGGAACGTCCAAGTCCACGTGAATCGTGGAGCTCCCCTGTGGGACGTCCGAGCGGGCGTTCTAGTTCGGACATCCATGGTCCTTACCAGTGAGTGTGTTCCACCTCGAGCTCGTAGAGGAAATGTTGGCTGTATGAAAGCTGACATCTGCAATATGCCTTTTTAAAACGTTGCCCTTACACTTCTTTGACCCGTTCCGTGTATTTATTGTAAAATAAATACCGGAGGGACGGCCATAAGTACGATGCATGCTGTGCGTCCGTCCGAGGACTTCCCACGGTAAAAACGTCCCCTTGGAACTCTAGGAGATTTTCTGATAATCCAAGGGAGCTGAAACGAAACCAAGGGACTCCCTTGAAATTAAGTGCTGATTTCAAGGCACTCCCTTGGAAATTGACAAAACCAAGGGATTCCCTTGGAATCTGGAACGGACACTGTTAAAAAGTTCCGCCAAGGCAAGTTTAGCAAAGCGGTCTTGCCGTGGCCCGGCAGGCGAGGTAGAGATGTGCGAAAGGTTCGGAATCGAATCGAATCGAATCGAATCAGCTCTGATTCGATTCGATTCGCTCCCGGGAAAATTGCTTAAAATCCGAACTATTCGAAAAATTCGAATCGAGGGTAATTCGCCTTCGAATCTTGTCCCTTTCCTCTCCCGTTTGAATCGCGCGCTGCACACCCGCCAGCTAGCTTCTAGACTGAAATTACCAAATACTAATATTTTTATGTGATATTACATTGTAATAAAATATAATTATTTTTTGTTCCACTAATATTTGTTTTGCACTACTGATATTGAACAACGCACTTCCTGTATTGCTCCAACAACAACGTAACGAAATCATGAAATTTTTGCTTGAGATTCGGATTCGATTCGAAAAACAGGGACAAAAATTCGATTCGATTCGATTCGAGAAAAAAGATGCAGATTCGATTCGATTCGATTCGGGGATTTTTTTTCATGATTCGATTCGATTCGAGGGGAAAAAACCTGATTCGCACATCTCTAAGGCGAGGCCGGGCAGAGAGGGGGCAAGGAGGGAGGGGGTGGCTGTGAAGAGTGGGGACTGGCGCGGCGGCGCGGCGGCGCAGGACGACGACGGACGACGGAACCAACACGACCATGCAGTCCCCTCCGAGCGCGCTGAATAGATGGATGGATGGGATGAGATGGGATGAGTGGGATCGGATGCAGAGCTAGAAGCGGTAGCAAGACCGCTTAAAAAAATCATCTTACTTTTAGGAAACTTCTTTTATGAAGCGGTTTACAAAGACTTTTTTCTAATCTGAAATCTTATCTTTGAGAGCTCGCAGCCCAACGAGATGCGATAAAGAGTTGCCCCTTGGTTTGCGGTCTAACTTGTACCTAAAACTCTTCAAAATAAGTTTTGGACATAACGACTTATTTACTGCCTCTAAAAGGAGCTGACGTACCGAATTTAAATTTACAGGTGCGCTGGATCTGTTTGTGCGTTCAACTAACGAGTCCTCAAGCAATGCTATCCCTGCCAGTGATGTCATCGTCAAGTACCTGACGGCCGACGGCAGAGGACCCTTCTCCGTAGAGGTGAAGCAAGCAACATCAATGCAATGGTTCCATCAGCAACTTTCTAGAACCTTTACGATATTTCTGTAATTTCATGGAGATAGATTGTTTTGCTCAGGGAACCATGCTTGGTTTTCCATCGCTCGGTTTACCTTGGATTGCCGATTATAACATACGCAAGCGCGTGTTCAGTAGCATTTCAAAGGGAAGACCCAACGTTATCGAAATGGAAAATGCAACACGACGCACTCTCTTGTTTCAATTCAATTTTTGCCACTAAAAGCCGTCGTTCGCGTTCAAGTGTCTTGGGTGTCTTAGGTCTAGGTGTTAGGTCTAGGATTACCTTTTTGTGCAGACATTTTCTAGTCAGGTAATTTTTTTAACCAAACGATTGATTAATATTTTCGACAATGACTCACCCTCTTCTCTTCGGAATTAGATTAACTAGGGTTGGATGCGTAGCGTAGCCTCTGAGCACTCTTAAAACCTTACGAAGTATTTTGAGCATACATATAACAAACTAAATTACTTAGTTATACGAAGAAATAGTTCGTAAATTACGAAGTATTTTCTTTGTAAGCTTACGTATGCTCAAAATACCTTGTTATACAAACTACTTTTCTTTGTAAGGCCCAAAATAGTTTGTAAGGTTTTCTCTGTGAGAGTTTCATGAATTTAAGTTCACTTTTTATGTCGTTCTACCACGTCCTTAAAAATGTCAACAATGCCGCCACAGGTGCAACGCATCCACCTCCGGGAGCGTCTGGAGGCCTCCTGGCACGAGCTGAACCCCCACCTGCACTTCGACTTGGCCCTGCTCGAGCTCAGCGCCGCCGTCACGCTCATGCCCGCGTGCGTGCCGACGCCTGGCCCCATCACGGCACACTACAATGCCATGTCTGAGGGGCTGGTGAGAGTCCAATACGCGCACATCCAGGGTGTGGAAACGGGTTTGATTTGGCGGGCCATGGCTGCGGCGATGCGTGCACGGCCGTTGTTTGTTGTTTTTTCGTGGTTCCTAGAAACCCACTTTCTAGCTTAAGTAGACATCTTATGCACAAATCCTGTACGTGTACTTCTAAAGTAATGTTGTCTCTTCGGGAAAATAAGCCCGTATTGAAGATTTGATACCCACAGGACGAGTCATGGACATGTTTGTAACTTGTTTTAATTGGCTCGTCCGCGTTCGGGCGCGGCGATTCCGGCCTGAAAACGCCGGGAGAACCTCACTCAGCCGAAATCTCAAGTAGCCGAATGCCCACAGAGCCGAAATGTCACTAAGCCGAAATGCCACTGAGCCGAAACTCCGACACGACAATACTAATTCATTTACTGTTCCACTGAGCCGAAATCTCACTTCGTCGAAATGCCACTGCGCCGAAAACGAGTAAAAGAAGACTGCGATCTCATTGAGCCGAATTCTCACTCAGCCGAATTCCCACAGGGCCGAAATTATAAGCTTGGTGATGTTCGTGCATTGTGTCTCACTGGGCCGAATTCACATTCAGCCGAAACCCTTCTGCGAATAACGTCAGATCTGTCGCGGGTAGCGTAAGAACTCGCACGGTAGCGTAAGATCTGTCGCGAGTAGCCTAAGATCTGTCGCGAGCAGCCTAAGATCTGTCGCGAGTAGCGTAAGATCTGTCGCGAGTAGAGTAAGATCTGTCGCGAGTAGCGTAAGATCTACCGCGAGCCCGTTAGGTTAGGTTAGGATGGGTGGCAACCCATTAGTTTTAGGTACTGCTCAACGCCAGCTGTGTAACTTTCGGCTCTGTTAGACAACCATACGAGTGAGCCTTTGAACTAGTGCTACTCATCGGCTCTCCATCTGCAGCATTCGGCTGAGTGGGATTTCGGCTGAATGGGATCGACATTTTTTTTCGCTTGCTTTCGGCCAAGTGGGATTTCGGCTCCGTGAGCATTCGGCGGAGTGACACGAAACGCTCACATTTGAAGATGGTCTGCACATTCGGCCAAGTGAGAATTCGGTTCTGTGGGATTTCGGCCGAGTGACACGTGGCTAGAGCACAAGCATGATCATATTCGGCTCTGTGACAATTCGGCCCAGTGGCATTTCGGCCCAGTGGGGATTCGGCCCAGTGAGAATTCGGCTGAGTGAGAGCGACTCAAAACGCCGAAAAAAGTGTAAACAAATTGCAAAAATGCGAATATCTCAATTTGTAAGTACCAATTCGGCCCAAGGTGCTTATTTGCTGATCCTTCAACCTTACTCTTTAAGTACGCGTTGAGGTTTTGTCGGGAAGACGACTACTTCAGCTGGAAAGTGGTTTATCAACTAACGCGGTAAAGCAGTAAAAACGGAGAAACCGGCCGTGCAGCACGCATCGCCGCAGCCAAGGCCCGCCAAATCAGCCCCGTTTCCACCCCCTCACACATCAAATAGGCTACTCCAATGAATCTTGAAACGGAAGCAAGAGAAAAATGTTAGCCCTAAAAACAGCTTCTGAGCATGCGCACCGGGTGGTGAAGGAACGTCTGCGCATGCGCAGCGCAGATGCTGTTTTTAGGGCTAACTTTTGTTCTTTTTCATCCGTTTCAAGATTCACTGGATTACCCTATAGCTACACTCTAAATATGGAGTGCCCAGAAATTGAGCGCCCGCCCGCCCCACTTTATAGGGCGCCAAATGTCGTCCAGTTTCTGGGCACCTTTGTCGACCAGTCTCGGGGTGGACAAACCGTACAGTAACCGGCCTCTCCCATGGTAGAGCATGCACAGGTGTCTAGTTCCTGGGCGACTATCTGGGCACCTTTCACTCTACCAAAAATGTCCTGTCAACGCCGTTTATTTATTACCAGTTTTCACTGTAGGTTAATTCACAGCGTTTACTGTGATCTGCTCACGCGATTCACTGTGATCTTGTTCACGGTGTTCACTGTGATCTGGTTCACAGTAAACACTGTGAGTTTGAAGCCGCTGAGCACCGAAGTGCTGCAAATCAGGCTCCAATTCACGGCGTTTACTGTGGCGAGATCACAGTGAACACTGTAACCGAGATCACAGTGAACGCCGTGAACTAGTTCACAGCAAACGCCGTGAATTTTATTACAGCAAACATTGGTAATAAATTAACGGCGTTGACAGGGCATTTTTTGTAGAGTGTTGGCACCGTAGCCGGGTGATTCCGTGCGTAGAGGGTCATTTTGGATGCAGCAAAATTTTTTTAAAAAGTTCAACTTTAGGGGCTAAATTTGGTGTAGATGGCATACATAGTACCCCACAGTACCCCTCTGAGCGTGGCAACGCTACAAGTTGACTTTTAATTTCACCCCCTATGAAATACGGCGGAATTTACAGAAATTATGACGGAATTTACAGATTACGGAATTTACAAAGCGAAGCGTTTAGCCTCCTGACCTGCTGGGTTACAAGATAGGTAAAAACTGTTGACGGTGTCATTTTGAGCATCCAAAATAGCGTTTTTCAGCGAAGGTTGTGGGAACTTTCTCCCTCAGATGGAGGAGCTACGGCCCGAAACGGAATTTACATCTATTTTTACACCCTTGCCGTTTTGAACAATTCTGACGGCCTGGAAGCGTCGTTTGACCGCCCCAGGTCCCGCGGGCACGGGTTTCTGGAAGCATTTTCGATGTTCTTTCGATCGCAAGTGGTCGCGAGGTTCTAAAACGAAAAGGAACCCCTGTAGACCGTCATTTGTGAAAGCAGCATAGGTCACATGGTCACACGGTGGACATTTTCCCATAGGCTGTTTCGGGTTCAACAAGTGATGATACAAAGGTCACCTTCCGTAATTTTGTGAAGAATAAGTCACGGAAGAGAGAGAAATGGCCAGTTTTCTTTTGATGTGGTTGAGTCATATACTACAGCATGGCAATGTTGTCTTATAGGTGTTGGTGACCATGACGGAACTTACAAAACGACACTTTAGCAGCTTACAAAACCTAGAAAAACAAAAGTTAGATTGACTTATCCACATGAGGACATGGTCCTCGTTCAGTAAAACAAATTGGAATTGCCCAAGCTACCAAATCAACCTTAGTTCAGGCGCAAGACCCCGGTGACCTGAAATGACCCCCTACGCACGGAATCACCCAGCCGCTGCTGAGCCATGGGTATGGTTTGTCCGGCCCGAGACGGGGCGACATTTGGCACCGTAAAAAGTGGGGCGGGCGACAAAGGCGCCCAGTATCTGGGCACCCCATATTTAGAGTGTATGGATGATTTTTGTTACCAGTTGCCGAATGGTTTTTTGCCCATGGCTGAAACGTTTTTATACGTTACCAAATAGCGACAAAAATGACCTCAAACCATAAACAAATTTGTCCACAGATTTTTGGAAGCATTGTTCTTTGCAATTTAAGCGCTAAATAGTTCACAGATGTGGACAATTAAGTCCTCAACAAGGTTTACAAGAGTCCATAAAAAATTATGTAGAAAATGAAACAAATATGCACAAAAGCCATAGTCTTATTTTGTATCCAGGGTCTGGAGGCAATGTGATATGTGTACTGCCCATGGACAAATTTGTGAACAGCTAAACATAATATTGCGTAAAAGTCATGGACAAATATGTGTACATTTGGTAATGCTTCAAGACGTTTCCACTTTAGTTGCAATATTGTCCCCAGAATTTGTCCATACGCCCCAGACGTATTTACTTTGGTTTCAGATAGAAGTTTGGGAAGACACCTATTCAAGTCAACGCACGCTACTGCCGGCTTGGTACCGACAACTAGGTCAATGCAACATCACATTAAATCGTCTGGACTTGTCCAATGCCGAGTTTTGCGCTGAGACGAAAACAGGTAGGATGCATAAAGTGTTTCGTCATGTGAGGTGAAAATGACGATGCTACGTCTTGCGCTGCGCTATAGTCGATTGCTTATACACCACAAATTCAACTGTGTACCAAGTCCATACTTAAAGTCCATACTTGGCAAGCGTACATGGAGCCAAGTATGCAGTTGTGTATCCATAGCCTAGCCATGTGTTGTGTACCTGCAAGTTGTGCATTTGCGAGTGTCTTTACTCTTCAAACTCAACAGTGTACTCAGCACACTCTCTTTAGCGTGTACTGACGAGTACACTTCCTTCAGCGTATGCTCACAAGCGCACTCCCACGAGCGTGTACACAACTGCATATATTTCCAGGATCTGAGCGCACTCTCGTTAGAGTGTACTCATAAGCACACTCTCGTTAGAGTGTACTCATAAGCACACTCTCGTTAGAGTGTACTCATAAGCACACTCTCGTTAGAGTGTACTCATCTAAGCACACTCTCGTTGGAGTGTACTCATGAGTACACGCTGAACAGAGTGTGCTGAGTACACGCTGAACAGAGTGTGCTGAGCACACTCTTGAGTTTGCAGAGTAGACAGTTAGGTTTGCCGTGTTTATTTTGCATCTATGTCACCCATCCTGTTTCGCGTCGCAGACGTGAAGCCCGGACATCGCTTCACCTTCCACACGCATGTTTACAGGTGATCTGTTGAGGCCACTGCCGATTGGAGCCGGCTTCTCCATCTTGTCGCAGGGCGAGAAAGGCGCGTGGTTCGTCCGCGGAATCCACGGCACAGACTGGAACACCACCTTCAAAGGTGGCCCAACGCCAATCTTCTACTTTTTGGACCTGCCCGTCATCAAAAGCTGGATCCATGAGAAAATGCAATTGCGTTCTGCCGACGGTACCTCCCGTAAGCTATTTAGACTGACGTTGAATTGAACTGCCCCTCCTGAACCCTCCCAATTTAGCGCTGTTTGATTGCAAAGAATCCGCATCGTAAGCGTGAAGGTTTCTTGTTTTTTTTACGGAATTTTAGAGATTTTCTTAGAGATGGCAGACTATCTGAACCGACGCTTTTAAACTGAGCGTGGATTTTCTGTCTTTTTTTTTAGTTTCTTTGCCCGTACCAAAGCCGCAACCTTTTGCTGCCCCTGCAGGAACACCGTCCGCAAAGGTAAGCCATTAATCTTTCACTGACGATTGACTCATGCAGGTCAAATACTCAGTGAAGATATTTCTTTGATCTACCTTTTTGGTCCTCTTGACTCTTATCTCTCTGGTAATTGATAAGGGTCATACCAGAAGACTGAAACGTATCAATGCAAATAAGTGCTTTCTGAACCATTTTGGATGGGTGTTTGAAAAATTGCATCGATTTGTCTTACAGTGTGGCCAGACTTCCTTGCCTTTATACTCGTTGGCCTTCAACCAATTTGGTAAGTGTCCTCTTTTCCTGCTTTAGCTGTAGCCCCCCCCCCCCCCCCAGGCCATGGCAAGGCTGCAATCAAATTTAGTGCTGCAATCACATTAGTGTAACAAGAATTGCGCGTCATTTCACCGCACCTCGTTTGGATTGTGGGTTGATAAAATACGTAGGATGGCGAAGTCTGAATCCTAAATGTGTTCTGGCACAATTTCCTTATCTCATGAGAACTGTGAAATAATCTGACTGCGATGATGTATTTATTCACAGGCCTTATAGACATGAGTGAACCTCCGATCACGCTGACAGGCCCTCTGCCCTGGAGCGTGGCCATTTACATTGGCAATAACTTCGAGACGTTCACTTCGGGTGTGCTGGTACGCGAAAACGTCGTCCTGACCGGTGAGTCCTGCGTGCCTTCGGTCATAATGCACAGGTAGTCTGGGAAAGCGACGTCACATTCGTCCCCATGAGGAAGCATTGGCTACACTTTAAATGTCTTACTTACGAAGAAATTTTCCATACGAATCAACTGGCGCCAGCAAAGGTCGTTTTTCTTCGTATTACGAATGTTTCTCTTTGTATATTTTAATGAACATACAGAAAAAAATTCTTATCAGGAAGAAATATTGCATCGTATTATGCTCATACTCCGAATTCACTGCAACAAGCTCAAATTTCATTTTAGACTTTTAGAGTGCATGTTTTAGCATGGCACCCGAGCTCCTCTGTGTTCCCACAGATGCCAACATGCTGGTCGTCCCAAGATCGAGCTGGAATGAATCCGGCATCGTCCGCACTGTAGACCCCTCTGAAGTTCGGGTCATGTGGGTGAGCCACACGGGCAGGCGACAAAGCTCCCAAGTAAGTTCACTACACTGAGATTCCAAACGCTATGAGTATGGTGTAATGCAGCTGAGATATCGCACCATTCGTGCAATGCGATAGCCATATTGCACCTTACGTGCGATGCATCCCGAAAGTGCCCTATGCTAATGCATGGGAATGGGGAGGCGGGTGATTCCGTGCGTAGAGGGTCATTTTGGATGTACCAAATGTTCTTTTTTAAAGTTCAACTTTAGGGGCTAAATTTGGTGTAGGTGTCATACATAGTACCCCACAGTACCTCTCTGAGCGTGGCAGAGCTACAAGTTGACTTTTAATTTCACCCCCTATGAAATACGGCGGAATTTACAGAAATAATGACGGAATTTACAGATTACGGAATTTACAAAGCGAAGTGTTCAGTCTCCTGACCCGCTGGGTTACAAGATGGGTAAAAACTGTTGACTGTGTCATTTTGAGCATCCAAAATAGCGTTTTTCAGCGAAGGTTGTGGGAACTTTCTCCTTCAGATGGAGGAGCTACGGCCCGAAACGGAATTTACATCTATTTTTACACCCTTACCGTTTTGAACAATTCTGACGGCCTGGAAGCGTCGTTTGACCGCCCCAGGTCCTGCGGGCACGGGCTTCTGGAAGCGTTTTTTATGTTCTTTCGATCCCAAGTGCTCGCGAGGTTCTAAAACGAAAAGGAACCCCAGTAGACCGTCAGTTGTGAAAGCAGCATAGGTCACATGGTCACACGGTGGACATTTTCCCATAGGCTGTTTCGGGTTCAACAAGTGATGTTACAAGGGTCACCTTCCGTAATTTTGCGAAGAATAAGTCAGGGAAGAGAGTGAAATAGCCAGTTTTCTTTTGATGTGGCTGAGTCATATACTACAGCATGGCAATGTTGTCTTATAGTTGTTGGTGACCATGACGGAACTTACAAAACGACACTTTAGCAGCTTACGAAACCTAGAAAAACAAAAGTTACATTGACTTATCCACATGAGGACATGGTCTTCGATTAGTAAAACAAATTTGAATTGCCCAAGCTTCCAAATCAACCTCAGTTCAGGCGCAAGGCCCCGGTGACCTGAAATGACCCCCTACGCACGGAATCACCCAGGCATTGCACTTCGTGTGCGATGCTTTTGCATTGCACCAATTGACGGACGCTAAACTCGTAGCGTTTGGATTCTCAGTGTACGAGCGGGCCACACTCCGCGCGCGAAATATGTGTTTGAAATGGCTGGGCCGGGGCAACTCCTCAAAAGCTGAATGTCAAACTGCTATGTGTTTGCAGGTGCTGTCAGTCCAAGCCCGCGAAAGAGACCGCGGGACGTACCAGACATCGCGCACTTTCGACGTAGCGCTGCTTCGCCTCAAGACTCCACTTCCGAACAGCCCGGCCTGCTGGAGCCGCCACCTACCCAAACTAAAGCGCTACCAACTGGGAGTGGTGCGTTGATTTGGCATTGCAAAGATGCCTTCACTACAAACCTAACTGTCTACTAAGTACACACTTACAAATGCATGCCTGCAAGTACACACTTACAAACGCATGCTTGACGCATGGAGTTAAACGGCGTCAAGCATGCGTTTGCAAGTGTGTACTTGCAAGCATGCATTTGTTAGTGTGTACTTGGCCAAGCATGCGTTTGTAAGTGTGTACTTAGTAGACAGTTAGGTTTGCAGTGTTGGGTTGGAAGAACAAGAAAACATGAGTCTTTTACACCGGAACGATGTTGCGGATGAGGCTCGAAGCTCAGTCGCACGACAATTTGATTTTCGTAACAATGTTTAATTTTCGACTGAAAGTTGATCTTTCGTTTCCTCCTAAAGTTGTCTTTCAAATACAATTTGAAGATACTTTAGTGGAGTTTGAGGCAGCCGTTACGACTTCGACGACGTTTCGGAAACCATTTCAATATAGCATGGTACACTGAGAACCCAAACACAATGAATATAGCGTCTATTGGTGCTTTGCTTTTGCATTGCACATGAAGTGCAATGCCTTCCCGTTCCCATGGATGAACATAGGGCTATTTCGGGAAGCGTTGCACTTAAGGTGCAATTTGGCTGTGGCTGCACGCATGGTGCGATATATCACTGCATTGTACAACATGTGCTATATTCATAGCGTTTGGAATCTCAGTGTATAAGGGAGTATGGGGCGATTTGTAACAGGGGCGATTCGTAACAAATGCGTTTATTAATTTAAGTGGAGGGAGCAGAGGAAAATCTGAGTATGGCCCCTCTTTCGCTTCAAGTACAGGGTCCTTGAACAATCGAAGCGGATGTGATCGGTGCTCAGGTATAGTTTTGGAGGGCGTCTGAAATATAGGGTACACCGAAATTTCGGCAAACAGGCAAATCTTTTATTTTGAGTTCTAGGAAGTTTCTGTCGGAGGCTCCCCAGGTATGAATCACCATCGAAGTACCGTTGGGGCCTTGAAGCGTGACCCCTTTACAATGTAAACACGTGGCATAAGTTGCTTTTACTTTGTCCAGTGATAGTTAGCAGCGGTGCACTGGTAACTTTGTCCTGGACCATACGCTCTGTCTGTGTGTGTGTGTGTGTGTGTGTGTGCGCGCGCGCGCGCCAGTTGTAGTCAACAGTCAAGGAATTTCGTAGTGAAGTACAAATTATGTTCTTGGCGCTGAAACCTCGCTCGCACTCAGCTGAACTGATTGAGAAGGTCTGAATTAGAGCTTTTAAGGGCTCGAGTGCAGCAGATAATTATTCATTATCATCAACGAACTCCCTCATTGCATTGACCGCTTCCGTGGCGTCAAGCTCTAAACGCGCGCAGAGGCGACAAAGGCCCGCCTGGGCCCCAGAAGTCGAGCGTGGCCATCGTCTGGCCAAAAATGAGCGTATGGGCGGGGAAAATGTTCTGGACCATACGCACGGCCGAAAAAATGTTCTGGGCCATACGGCGTATGGCCGCGTATGGCCTCCAGTGCACCGCTGATAGTTAGGGACGGATTTTTTGCGTAACAGATATTTGGGGTGATTCGTAACAGACCCGTATAAAAACAAGAATTTAAGTAGTTTTTGTTGTTAAATGCTTGAATTATTTCTCGAATCATCTGTTTTATTCCAATACATTTACACAGCTCGAAATGCATTTTAAAGCGAGTTATTCTACGCTTTCCTCTAAAATTGAAAAAAGTGAGGTTAGGATTGACATAGCCAATCAGTTAATGCTGAGGCGGTCAACGGCAGCTTGTAATGTAGATTTTTAGACGTCTGCAGGACACCCGAAGAACAACTGGTGGAGGAGATAACATTCCCGACGATGTTTCATTTAATGTGTAGGATGTTATGAAAAGCCCCATGGCTGTTACAATTCACCCCATGTTGGGGCGATTCGTAACAGCATGCAAGGGTTTGGAAAACGTCTTAGATTTCAAAGATTACAGACTCCAGATTGATCCAATGGAGCTGCACAGTCTAGATGGAGGGCCAGACTGCTCAACTGCCACAAGTTTGACACCGATATGCAGAATGTTCTTAATTTTGTATAGAGAATTCCGAAATCTGTTACAAATCGCCCCATACTCCCTTACATGCTGCAGTTTAGGACCAATTCAGATTAAATAAAAAAAAAACGTGATTGCGATTCTCACGTGAATTGCAGAAACTTAACGTGTCGTGGGGCAATTTAACATTTGTGTAATTTATGTCCCTTGTTCTCGCGAGAAAAAAAAAAAACAGTCCAAGGTTTATTGGTCCGCACAAATGTTGAACCGTCCAGGTGCGAAACATGTTTAAGGCCTGTGTGTTTTTCGCAATGGTTTAGAGAAATTTTAAGGAAGTCGTAACTGTTTCATTCAATGCCGATCAACATTTTAAATTTTTATCCACGAGTAACGTACGAAATTCTCACAGTCAGTTTCGACGACGCTCTTCCCTTTCAACAAATTATTTCCTTAAAGACACCATTCTTTTAAACGTTGCGGAGTGTACCACCTATCAAATAGTTTCGATTTACCTTCACAGATCGACGCGTGGAACGTGAGCGTCCTTGATTTCCAATCAGACGTCTTGGCAATGCCTTACGTGGACGTTGGCTTGCAAAGGTGCGCTTTCTCAATGTTACCCTTCCCCTATTTTAACATTACTCCAGAGAGATACTGCACTGGACCCGTGAAAGGTACGTCTGTGATAACCTCGCAAGAGTGTTTTGTTAAGGAAGTTGACGTTTGCACGATTCCTCCTCGAATGAAAATTCAATACTCTTTTAACGGCTTCCGCGCACAAGTCTTTGCAGTTTCTCGTACGCAAATCGAACAAAAAGTTTATTTGCACAAAAGACCGTGACGTCTCGTTCAAAATGCACTCTCAGTCTCATATTGACCTTTTATCTCTTGCCAAAAAGTTTTTTGTGCAAACGTAATAGTATGTACCATTTTCCTTATACCTACGCACTATTTTGTTCATTGTATAATATATTTAGTCCATTAAACCTGACTTTTTGTCATTTGCAATGTACTTTTTAATTTCTACATGATCTTATGACATATTTATCCTTAAAACGATCAAAATTGTGCATTGTTCAAGAGGAAATAATACATCTTACGTTTGCTCAAAAAACGTCATAAGCAAAAGAGGAAAATGTCCGTATGGGTCTGAGAGTGTGGAACGTAACGGGTGCAGCCCGCCCTCCGTCGCCTTTTAGTTCCAGCTAAAGCAGGCGCGGGATTCCTCGTGCGGAGGGACGACTCTTGGTTTCTGCACGGCATCCTGTCCTTCATTGTGGTCGACAAGTTCAAGCAGTGGGTCATTACGGACGTGGCCGAGGAAGGCGTCAGTACTTGGCTCCACGACAACCTGGAGGGCGAGACCAAACCCGAGGCAGCACCTCAAGGCGCACCGCCCAGCGAGCCCTCCGCACCTTCTCAGGTAGGGCTATGCAAATAAAATAATGTCACGTCGTGACAAAAAAAATTTCTGCGGATAGTGATCAAACTAGTGACAAATCTCACATCTGTGATGTGATACTAAAGATGTTTCAGGATAGTGTCTTTTTTTTCTATTCGCATATGACTTTTGGCTGATTTTGTTGAAAAGCTCCTTTGACTTGTGTTACAGTGTGGCAAGACGACGTTGTCCCTGCACACTTTAAAGGAAAACGACACGCTAGCTAACCATTTGCCCTGGTCAATGGTGGTCTATACAAAAGACACCAATGGGACCGTAAGAATGCGCCCTGGGGTGCTGGTTCGCCACGACATCGTTTTGACAGGCAAGTAACTACCAGCGACACACTTCGTCAGCTTTGCTTCATCTAGCTAACACGAATTTTGACCTCTTCAAATACCCTCCACCATCGCCTCTGCATCAATGAGAATCAAAAAGTCTTGATCAATACCCAATTTTGGGGGAGGAATACTTCATCACCTAAATTTGGGCGAGAAAGGTTGTAACAGCTACGTGTATGGCTGCATAGTATTATCACCCAAATTTGCGAGAGGTGAGTGAGATTTCCTCACCCTACTTTGGGTGATAGAATTCCTCACCCAAAATTTTAGTCCTCATCGCGACTTTTTCATTTTCAGTGATTACATGCATGCACCATGTCTTCAAAATGAAGTAAAACATCGAGTTTTCACCTTTCGTTTTACTCATTTTGTTAATTTAGGAGCCTCACTTTCCGCGAAACCATTAAACCTGTCTGAAGCCGCACACTCAGCGAGTACCTTCGTTGCGTGGGTTAATCCATCTGGAAGGAGACTTCGCTTTCAAGTGAGTATGAATTTTTGACCCACCCTTCTGTTAAAAAAATAAGGGGAGGGCCTAGGCGTTTGCCTTTGTGTCTATGTGTCATCGTCTGTGCACAAGGAGGGAGTTGAGCTAGAGTTCCCAAATTTGGAAAGCACTGTAGGACCGACTGAAAATTTTTGTTACGCTTTTGATCGGTCTTGGCAAGACCTCTTCAACGAGTGGACGGGCCCGAATCGTCAGTTTCCCTATCAAAATAGCAGGGGTCCAAGAGTCTGAATGAGATATAATCTAAGCGCTAAATTCAGTGTACACTCTCAGACTGTTATTGACTTTTTGTCCTTTGTTAAAGAGTATTTTACACAGCAATAAAAAGTACTATTTCCTCAATATATATGTAGGATTCCGTTCGTTACATTGACATAAAGTCAATTTGCTATTGACAAAGAGTCAATACGCAATTGACTTAAAAAAAAGTAAATAATTGATGACAATTTAGTGTTTATAGTGAACAATATTGTACATGGTTACAAAGGAAATACTACATATTATTGCTGCTTAAAAAACTACGTAAGCAAAGGACAAAATGTCAATAATAGAGAGAAAAAAGTCAATACGAGTCTGAGAGTGTATATCTTCGTAAAACAAACAAAATAGTTTGTACCGTACATATGGTCAAAATACTTTGTTAGGTTTTAAGCTTGCGCGTCTCAAAAATTCTATTTCCAGGAAGAAGTGTCATCGAGAGTCCCCGATGCACTTCTTATTCGCCGTATTGCGACGGCACTTTTTGTCACTCTGCTTACGATGCCGCTTTTTCCTGAAACGGCTGAATGAACCTTGTGGCGTTGAATGCATGGAACGTATTCTTTATCACAAGCACAGATGCGATTCCTTTGAAATTTGATCATAACTTAACTTGCACGCTCTGTCACAATACGTGGTTTTTGTCCCTGTTGGGTGCCAGGTGCTCGCTGTGCACATCTACCATCCCGACTCCAGCTCAGACATGGTGGATCTGGCGTTGCTGCAGCTTCAGTCGCCATTCCCTGACAGTATGGTGGCGTGCGTGGACACCGTGAATCCACCTCCTAGCCTCGCGGACGGGCAGCTTGGAGTGGTAAGTATGACTAAGTGAAGCTTAAATCCGTGTAAGATGTACCAAAGATACTTAGCAAACGCAACAGTGTACTTACTAGTTCACTCTCTTTAGCGTGTACTCACGAGTACACTCTCTTCAGCGTGTACTGACGAGTACACTTTCTTCGGCGTGTGCTCACAAGCATACTCCCACGAGCGTGTACTCAACTGCATGTATTTCCCAGGACCTGAGCACACTCTCGTTAGCGTGTACTCATCTAGGCACTCTCTCGTTGGAGTGTACTCATCTGAGTACACTCTTGTCGGAGTGTACTTGTGAGTACTCGCTGAACAGAGTGCGCTGAGCACACTGTTGAGTTTGCAGAATAAGTACCATTTGAATTCATTATTTGTTTTACGTTTTCAGATGGAAACGTGGAACGGTGACCCGTTTTCTTCGACTGAATTCACTGTCGTGGCCAGGGCCCCTGAATCCAGCGAAACCTGCCAGCGGCTGTATTCAAACTCGGCTAACATGACGTCTGAAATGTTTTGCTTAAAAGGTAATGGTATGAAACTTGTCGACTGCTGCTTAGCACTCAAACTCCTTCAGCTTCAGAGAAATCATTAGAGTAAAAGTCGTTTCAATGAATGTTCGGTCAGTGCGGGGAAGAACTGGACAGGGGAAGAACTGAACACCCCTTATTTTACTTCAGATACCGTATGCACAGGCAACAACCATCAAAAGTTGTTCCATGGCATCAGCGGTTCGTGTCATGATAGTTGTTTAGCCTGTGTATACTTCATTTTAAGTCAAATGTGGGGTGTTCAGTTTTTTTTCCTCTCCAGTTTTTCCCCACACCGACCCTAATGTAAATGGTGTGACGGTCGTTCGAATATGGTGCCTAATAAAGGAGGTTTCGTGGTGAAAATTTCATTAGAGGTCCTCCAATCTCATCGAGGAAAGCATTCGTTCGGGTCCGCTCCGGCTTAGGTTATAGTCCATTTACTCCAAAACGTCTTCAGTAGAAAGAGTTAACGATGCAATGGCTAGGCTTAACCTTATTTTTTTCTTTCGTTGCAGGAACGCGAGCTCAAGAACACACTCTTAAAAAAAGACATGGTAACAAGATTTTCCGTGAGTACACATCTTTCTTTGGTTGTTAAGTACGTAAGGGGAGGGCACTCTGCAAACTGAAAAGTGCACATGGTTCCTTGCATGTGGTTGTCCCTGTCGTTTTCTTCTGAAGGTTGCAAACTTCAGGTCGCTTCAAGATGATTCTCCGTCAATTCTGTTCAGTTAGCAGAGCTGGAGTACTATCGTTCCCGTCTTAGTGGCGTTCGAGCATTTTAAGTTCTTGTGTCAAGGCTAATACAAGTATTCCCTACAATAAGTTGTTATCACCAACAAAAGATGGGTTGCGACAAAAAAAAAATCGAAAACAGTCACTGCAGGACCCTTTTGAAATAATTGTCAATATCTATTTCCTTTTCGGAAAGGTTCTTGTACTTATAGAAGGATTGCTGTTTTGTGTTTCGACTCTTCAATAATTCAACTTGCGTTGTTCCGTCGATTCTTTGATGCAGTGCACGTGAAGCCTGGTTCAGGCTTCTTGGTGAGGAAGGGTGACTCATGGTTCCTCCGTGGTGTCGTGGCTTCTTCCGTGCGGCCCGCGTCTGAAGACACCCTCGTCTTCACGGACCTTGGCGCGCCCGACGTCAGGGCCTGGCTGCAAGAAAAGCTCAGTTCGACGATGCAGTAGCCTCGACTGCTCCCGTCTCATCGTCCACCGAGTGAAACACGCTGACTGACGCATAAAAAGAGGCGAGCAAAGCCGTCCTCTTCAATTTAGGCACTTATAGCCGCTTGTATATCTTGCAATAAATACAAATTTTCTCCCTCAACCTAGAGAAGTTTTAGAATCATACGGTGGAATGGGAGCTGAACTGCCTTTCGCTTAACATACTTGGTGACCCCACACACAGACTGTACATAACCCCTTTGGTGCTGATGGGACAGTTCGATTTTACAGTAGACTGACTGTACTGTACACTCCCCTAAAAACTTTCCTCTTGAGAAGAAAGCAAACTCACAGTCAGGTCAAAGTACAATCTTTTATGAACATTATCAAAATCATTGAGATTTGGTAATTTTTAGCTTAATAGAATTGCAAACAATTATGTGATAGCTGTAAATTGCTTTGGTCGCGCCGATCAGTGGCGCCAACACGTGGTTGCAGGGTCTGCGGCCGCAGACCCTGATTTGGGGTGGGTGGTTGCCGTGGTGGGGGAGGGAAGGGGAAAAGAGAAAGGGAAGAAAAAGGAAAGGATGGGAAGAAAAGGAAAGAAGGAGAGGAAAAAGAAGAGAAGAGAAAAAAGGGGGTTGTAAGGGGCTGGATATCAGTCGCTCCCCCTAAATGAAATTTCAGTGGGCGCCATCCGGTCAGCAATGGCCGATCTTCATAGCGCTTGGGTACAAAGTCCGTTCTACAGAGCGCTCATCTACAATGACTGATCTACATGGAACCATTTTGAAAAGACCGATCTGTTTTTCAAAGCTATTTTGCCATCTCTGTCAAAGTTAAAATACAACGTCCAAAATGTTGTTTCGACCTTTATATCGAAGTATGCTTCACTTATTTTCTAATAAAATGAATGTTCCGAAATTTTACTAGTCGTACTTTAGGATTGACAGAGATGGCAAAAAAGCTTTGAAATACAGATCGGTCTTTTCAAAATGGTTCCGTGTAGATCGGTCATTGTAGGCGAGCACTGTGTAGATCGGACTTTGTACCCAAGCGCTCTGTAGATCAGCCATTGCTGACCGGATGCATCGCACTGGCGCCGCCGATCGAACGTTTCCAATGCCCCCCGCCCCAGCCACCACAATGGATCAAGAAGTGAAAACTGCCTTCGCTGCGCACTGAGGCAGGCTAAGGCCATTCGTTGCATCGACCGGCCGCGCCGGGCTGGGCGAGGAACATCACTCTGCCAGTGGCGGCACAGACACTACAGCGCGAACGAGCAGCTAGCCGCGGCGACGACGTGCGTCTTTTTCGGCAGTTTGTTTTGGGTACGAAAGGAAACGAAGTGAGTTTATGAGGTTTCATCGAACGACGAGTTTGAGCGAGTGTCTGACGGTATGGTAAATGTAACTTAGTTAATTATTGGCTGAGCGGTAGCGAAGCCCTTGCCGTGTTTGGGCGCGCTGAAAAGTGACTGGTCGTGCGTCTGTCTGTCTGTCCCTCTGTTCGTACACGCTCACGTTTCTCAGCGACTACAACAGGTATAGTTTCCATACTTCGCATTTAACGTCGTCTTACTTTCCCCCAACACGAGTTTGTTTCAAATCATTGTTTAGTATCGTTTGAAATATTCAAAACATCTTTTTGAATCAGTTTATTAGCATGCTTAGGTTGGCAGCAGTTACCTACCAATTTCTCATACCTACGGCCGCGGCGCCGCGGCTCTGAAATACGGGACACAAGCAAATCAGCAAGTAAAACAAAATAAAGAGCAGAACGGTTTGGAAATGAGATCGGCCTTAGTTTTTCAACATTCTAGAATGATTGAAACCCTTTTGGAGTATCAACAAAGCGAAATATGGAGAATGGAAGTGAGAATGATTTACGTGTATCGTTCCCCTCTCCCCCCTCCCCCGTCTGAGGGGAATCTCCTTCAGGAGGTCAGTGCACTATGACTAAGCATTGTAAAATGGATGTTTTTATTTTCACCTTTTGTTTTGTGTGCTTCATTTTCATAGTAGAGGAAATCAAGTAAGTGCATAAATAACATATGTTGAAAATAGCAGGCATACTTATTTTGGTAATTTGTCTTTTGTTTGACTCAAGTTATATTCTGTTGCAATGCTGCAAGCTGACCTAAGTGCAAAAGCACTAACATTTATTTATTGATAGGATCAATATATAGTTGTATATATATAATCCTATTAGAGTTTGAATATATAAATAGGGTCAATGAGACGACTCAGGTTTTGAGCGGTGAGTGACTTAACATGGGATTTCATGAGACGATTCCTTTAACTTCACCAAAGTTTGTATTCAATAACTGGTACTCAGTATTGGTTAAGGTTTAAGCTGACCGATGTATCCCGGCAGAAAGGGCCGATCTGTGGAGCGACAGGAATCAAAGGCCGATCTACGCCCGCCTTGCCAACAAAGGCGCATCTACGCGCGACGCGCCAACAAGGGTCTATCTGCGGAGGTACGCCCAACAAAGGCCGAAGTAGCATTTTTCTAAATCGCGGGGAATTGAAGATGAAAGTTTACACGAGAAAGACAATTAAGTGTGATTCGGTTACTGTGTGGGAAGGGTACCATCATAATCTCCCGTTCATTCTGCGTCGAAGGGTGTGGTTGGTTTGACGAGTCATTGGTTTTAAGTCAGTCGTTTCGCTTTTACAAAATGTAGTGACGTAGGGAGTCCCGTCCGATGTGCCGATTGCCCCATTATCTTAGGTAAAATAACACATTTTCTCAGTTATAATTTTTTTTATGATTGTTCTTTCCTCTATTTGAAGTCTGAAAAATGAAATGTGATTTTTTTTAAATGAGAGATTTTAATGAAATCAGCCCGATTTCCATTCTTTGTTAAATGAATGTTTTACCATGGTCAATTTTCTGGTCCTAATTTTCTTTGCTTACTGTGCTTTAGCTGTAAGAAACAAAAAATATGATCACTAGGATGTATTTTTGTTCGTTGGGTGTTGGAGTATGCAAGTTAAGTTTTAACCTCAAGAACATACCGCTTGCTTCGTCAGAGACTGCATTATGCTTCTTTCGGCCAAGTGCAGCCAATTTTGCAGAAGGCGACTGCACGTCGCGTTGTAATTCTCGCCGTTTCATTGCAGCGGGAAAATGTTTTCATCGAGACCAATCAAAGCAAGTATAAAATGCTTGTGGGAAGACGCGTAGAAACGTAACTCGAACGAAAGCAAGGAGCGTTCGACTGGGTCGAGAGCAGTTAGATCGGTCTCCGTTGCACGGACTATTTTTCTTCCGTTGTAGATACGCCAACCACTTAAACCGTTTTTTGGGGCGTTTCCCGTGTCTTAAACCTTAAATGCGGTTGTCAAATTAATCTACAGCTTGAACTGAACGCAACTCTGTAAAAAACTGCAAATGTCAGAAAATGCTACTTCGGCCTCTTTTCTGTGTACCTCCGCAGATAGTCCCTTGTTGGCGCGTCGCGCGTAGATGCGCCTTTGTTGGCGGGGCGGGAGTAGATCGGCCTTTGATTCCTGTCGCTCCACAGATCGGCCCTTTCTGCCGGGATACATCGTGACTCTCTTCACAATTTACTCTGAACTCAAGCCCAATGTTGCAAAAGATAAAATAGCTTAAGACATGAGTAAGATAAATTATGTTGGTGCATTACACCTTAAGTAGACTTGGCATTGGAGTCTATGTGACGATTCACTGGATTTGACAATAATTGGTCTCCGTCAACTGGTTCAGATCAGCCAACCCTAAACTGAGTCTCTTAATATTAACTGTGAGAACATATTCCAATCAATATTGTCAAATTGACTGGTTTACAATGAAAGAATGACAAAATGTTTCTTATATATTACTTATAAAATTGTGAATTCATTAGTTTAGAAAAAAGAGATATCGATGACCCAAGCATACGAGTAGCCAATTAAGCGATTCAATGCTGGCAATTGAATATTACTCGACTGAAGGATTCGCACTGGTGTGGCATCAGGGAATTGGTGACGACAGAGGGTGCTTCATGAAGACAAATAGGAATATGTATACAGTAATTGAGTCTAGATGGTTGTCTGCAGATTTCAGTGTACTAGTCACAAAAGATACATTTACTTCAATGCCAAACCTACACTCTCATCTAGAGCTATGCAATTTGGGGCGAAACTTTCCAAGTTGAGATTTATGCGTTTCCCTGTGGTTTTCACTGCGCTGACTTCAATTTTGACTTCTAAAATGTCCCCAGACCCAAAACTTAACCGATTATGGGTCAAATTTTTAAAATTGAATTGTACATTGATTCTTGCAGTTTTTTGAGTGCTGATTACGAAAACCACTTCCATTTTAACACCAGACCTATATTTTCATCCCATATTAGGTCATTTTGGACCAAAATTCTCAAGTTCAGTTTTATATTGTTTCCTGGAGTTTTTGGTGTGCTGAACTCGAAAATGACTTCCAAATTTTTCCCAGTCTCTCACGTTACCAAATTTTGACCAATTTTGGTCCAAAATTTTTAAATTGAGTTTGACATTGATTCCAGCAGTTTTTGGGGTGCTGATATCGAAAATCACTTCCATTTTGACTCCAGACTTATATTTTTATCCAAAATGAGGTCATTTGGACCAAAATTTTCAAATCGAGTTTTATATTGTTGCCTGGAGTTTTTGGTGTGCTGAACTCAAAAATGACTTCCAAATTTTTCCCAGACTCACGCTTTACCAAATTTTGACCAATTTTGGTCCAAAATTTATAAATTGAGTTTGACGTTGATTCCAGCAGTTTTTGGGGTGCTGATATCGAAAATCACTTCCATTTTGACTCCAGACTTATATTTTTATCCAAAAATGAGGTCATTTTGGACCAAAATTTTCAAATCGAGTTTTATATTGTTTCCTGGAGTTTTTGGTGTGCTGAACTCAAAAATGACTTCCAAATTTTTCCCAGACTCACGCTTTACCAAATTTTGACCAATTTTGGTCCAAAATTTATAAATTGAGTTTGACGTTGATTCTAACAGATCTTTGTGTGCTTATAACGAAAATCACTTCCATTTATACCCCAGACTTACTTTTCACTTAATTTGAGCCCATGAGTTGCACATTTCGTCTACTCAAGCAAAGTCCGAAGTGCATCAACTATGTCAATTCGCATCGCTCAGCCACACTACGC